ATAGTATTTTTCTGCTTAAACTTCCAGAGAAAACCACATAAGGCACTATTTCTTCCTAAATGTTTTCACTGCTCAAGGACTTGTCAACTTATTTAACTCTAGTTAAAGACATGGTGACAGGTCTAACAGTCATCTAAGCTCCTCACTTAGTCTAAGGAGAGGGCGAGCAGCATCCTCAAACATGATTCCTTCTGAATCAGGTACATACATAGAAGGTGCATGTCTCCTTGGAGCAAATGGCACCCTGGAACTTTCAGAGGCAAAATTATTTCAACCAGAAATTTAAACTTAAACCAAAATTACTTATTGCTAGTCTGTCTCCTTGTACATTTCATGAAGATGATGCAGATAAAGAATAAAATATCTGATGGGTCCATGTTTTGTGTCTAACTGTGTATCTATTACACCACATTTTGTTGTGTGAACCTGCTCTAGGTTCATCCCCATTATCTTGGTCCTGAAATAGCAAACAACTAAGGAAAAAAAAAAAAAAATAGAAAAAGAGGAGGTTATGCAATCTTTCAAGCAACTTCAGTTAGGGGGAAGTAATTCAGGCTTTGTAAAACCAAGTATTTGGGGTACAGCAATTATGCACTGTTGTCAACAGTGCAATTTTGGTGATTTATAAAAGCCATCCTCTGGCTATCTAAAATTAGTTTTCTTTGCCAAAACACATGTGCAGGATCAATAAAATCATAACAACACTTACTACACATATCAATATAACATTCAGTCTCTCACTCTTTTCTCTGTTAGTTTTTTTTTCCAAGAAGACATTTTGCTACTTAACATGAATTTCAACAATCAAATTTTGCTGAATATGTCAAGATGAAGCAAAATCAGTTATTTAACACTCAGCTCAAGGACTGGATAGCTATATCCATGTGCCCTTCAAGCTGTCTTTTGACTCTCATAGCTAGAATTAAATGTTACCTTGGAGGCCTCGACCTGGTGTAAAGTATTTTGTCTGCTCAAAGGCCCTCATCACAGCTGGTCCTTTCAGAAGATTGACAATTGAATCAACCTGTTGGGATCAAGGTTCTGTGAGAAAGATGTATTTTACAGCAACAATTAGAAATTCTTTCTTTAAGAAATATGACCTACAGATGAGCAACTTTGGATTCTTTCTTACCTAATGGGTCAAGTTAAAGTAGCAAGCTAGGGAATGTTAGGCTGATGTTAAGGACCTGTTTAACTCACAGTTTTGAACTATTTACAGAAAACTGAAGGAAAATTAGTAAATACATACCATCCCAGTAAACAGTGGAAAGCAAAAGTAAAAAGAAAAAGAAGCATTTTCTAAAGATATCTTAGCTCAAACACAGACATCAGTATCAAAGCCAAGAAACATAATCTCATACTTGACCAAAGAGATGCTCCAAGCAGCTATGGAGCTTGTCCTGTTTATCATGGGACATTCGAACACTTATGGGAAGCTCATCACCTGAAAAATATTTTTAAATGAAAAATTGTTTAGAAGTTTCAGCATGCTTTCCAAAAAACCTTTTAGTTTAGATAATCTGCTTTGCACACAGACTGATGCTCAGGCTTTCAGGATTATAGTAACTCTTCTCCTTACATATTTTACATTTATTAGTCACTTGACAATAGAGAAATAGCTCTTAGAGAAATGATCATATTCAAAGCCCAACAGGTCATGGTGCTGGACAACCTGCTCTAGATGTGCCTGCTAGAGGAGTGGACTGGACTGGATGATCCCAAAACTGTTCCTCAACCATTCTGTGACCAGAACACATGATTCTTCTATGCTGGTGAACATACAGAATAAATGGGTAAGTAGTGTGAATCTCCTATAGCAGATCACAGAGTCACTGAAATGCATTCACTGTAAAGTTTTTATAGGGACTCTACAGACAACTCACAGTCTCAATGTTCTTACTAATTAAATGTTTCTGAGATTTTACTAATTCAACAAAACCAGTATTTGATAAGAAGCTTTCAGTAGCACATATCACATCATTTCCTAAGAGAGAGCAAAGGAGAAGGACTCTCCTAGGTCACTGCCCTGTCATTCACTCACTCAGACAACAGGAGATACAACACAAATTCTTTCAAAAACTGTGAAAAATTGAGCTTAAACCTGTTTTTCATCCTTGATGTTGCAGCGACACATAAGAAGTAGCCACTCGATATTTATGATCCAAATTTATTCATGGTCAATCTAGATTCATTTTTCTTATGTCAATGAAACTCTTAAACAGCACTTTCCTTATTTTTTTTTTCAGCTCCTTTGGATGTCTTTACAGCCAGTAGTTACATCCCTTCACAGGATTTTAATTGCAACAGATGGGGCACAGTGCCCAAGAGCCCTGATCTAGACTTAACCAGGTTAGCTTTGGATCTAGGAGAAAATTAAGCAATCCGGAGAGTGGGAGTTTCACTGAGCAGCAATATTTATCACCTCAAACACTGTGCTTGGCTAGCTTGGACATATTCTTTTTGGCACCTTGGTTGGTAATTCAGCTTGGTATTGCACAAGTATGTATCAGCTCGTTAATATCTTAGGTTGAAGGTACAGAGCCTGAGTCTCCCTTTATCAACAGTTTGCTATGCCCTTCATCTTTCCTCTATATCTGCTCAGCTCAGTAAGACCATTTCATTTCTGGAAATAAAATTCTGCCTTATTCACATTATTCTGCATTATTCACAAGATATCTCAGATAGTTTGCATAATGTCATAATACTTTCCTGTCCCAGCTGAAAATACCTCTCCTGGTACAACCCACAATAAAACATTTGCCTTCTCTATGGCCAGGTCTCAACTAATATGCCCAGTTCTTTCTTTTCCTAAATCATTCCCAAATGATAAACTAACGGTTTAGAGAAAATATTCTTTATTATTAGTCCCTGAGCATATGACCTTGTACTCCATGCAGTTAAATCCCATCTCGTTCCTATTAGCAGCTGCATTTATTTAAATTCAATTTGTCATGGCATAAACAAGAAAGTGCTTCTATGTGGTCTCACATTCCTTCCCACAAACATACACAGCCATATCCTGTTGTCTGGGTGCTGACATAGGCTGGGAGAGCACTCTACACTCATCTAAAATGCTCCTTACTCTCTGCAGCATAATGCTCTGTCAAGGTCAAGGCACGAAAGACATTAAAAGCACTGACTCCAAGAGCTCTAACTAATACAGTCTATCCACAGAGATACTGGAATGTTGGCTCTGTTTCACAGGACTCTTAAGTGCAGCACTAGCTAGGCAGAAGCAAAATTATACACTTCTATTACCAAGGAGCATGCAATTTTTAAAACAAAAACAATAAAACTGCCAGGCAAATGAAAAGAATAAAATAATAAAATTGAATAAGAGGAACAGATTACTAATTCATAGCTTTTCTAAACGTACCTGAATCCATTTCATCACTGTGAAAATAAGAACTGCACTGACTGCTACAAATGCTGGTGAAAGAGGCAATGGAGTTCCTATTGCTGTTGCAATCACTTGAAAATAAAACACAAAACAAAAACAGTAAATAAAGTTTTGTCCTTTAACACAGGCTCTGTAACAAAGTTATGGAAATTCCTTCCCTTTTCCCCTTTTAAATTTAATGGTGAGATGATCTGTATAATTCTTTATCAACTATAAAGATTTCTGCACTTGGGTTATAATTTAATTTGCAATCCTGGTAGGACTCAGAAGACCAGATTCCCAAAATGGACGCTTTGATCGTTTCCCTCCACCTTGCATGCAAACAAGTACTTGAGAATGGCAATATACACTTTCAATATAAAACAACCAACTTTTCTTACACAGTGGCAGTTTAGGAAACTGTGCCCTCAAATGTTTTAGTAACTTCACATTTACTCCTGGTCCAGAGCTAATACATGTAAAGACTTTACAACTTAAAAAACAGTCACATAATGGGTTTATAAAAGATTTGATCCATTTGAGTAGCAGCAAAACTCAAATTAGAAGCTATTTTCCTTGCCAGACAAAACATAGTTTATGATCCCATCTCTTCCAGCTGTTCAGTTTTTTAGAGATATATTAGACATTCACATCTGTGGCTTTAGCGAAAACATCTATTGCATACAAAATGTCACCCACATTAGTCTAGTAAGGAGATTAGGGGATCAAAAAATGGGGTTTTTTTCTGCTCTTTTCTCTGAAAAATAAATTGCTCTGTACAGAAAATAAATAGAATATACCTTCGTCTGCAACAAAATCATAAACATAGCCTTCTGTACTAAAAATTATACAAATATAAATATGAATTCAAAGTCTTCAGAGTTATTTAGCCACATGAAGATCATTTAGTTTCAATGCAGGAAACACTTTAGTAATTATCCAGCAGAGGGAGTCTTAAAAACCCAAGTGAATGTAAGATAATGTAGAAGTGTACCTAAGGGATGTTTATGTATAATGATCTGCCTTTTGGTTTATGAATTGGGTGTACCCATTCAGCAAGACATACATACCCATACTTTTTATAAAATGCTGCAGTTATGCACGTACACATGTGCTCCTTACCTGTTTTCTTCATTTTTTGTAGATACAGATGTGACCTTTTACTAATGAAGACATATTGGCTTACATTTCCTGGCTAAGGTATACATTTTGGACCTGTAGCCCACCAGGTAAGTGAATGGGATAAATTTTTTAATGAAGCAATATGATATAATTACAGTCATAATCATTAAGTAGATGAAAAGACATCAGCAACAGCATGTTCCTAATAGCGGGTGAACAGTCCCAAGGAGTATTAAAAATTTCTGGCTGGATATTAAGAAATGTTTTCTAACTAACTCTATTCACTTATTAAAGTCTCCAAAGGGAAAATGAAGGTTAATTAAAACTGGATTGTGCAAAGCATGAGAAAATAAAACACAGGAAAATGAGAAACAGATTAGATGTATTAGCTGTATCATTCTGCATCTTTATGGTGTTGTATTGTGAAGTTTAAAATGAGACTCAACACAAAATGAGAGCATTCTAATAGCTGAAATTAGTCTAACAGTTCTAATAATAACCACTGTGGCATTATGGGATTTGGAGATTTTAAGTATAGACTAATATAATTATTTAAGGAAAGAAACAAAGCAATTTCATCTCTACACTCAAAAGATCAAAACACTCTAACACTTTTTCTAAATGTAAAAATTTTATTATTATCCTGCATATGGAACCATAGATTTTACTGTTCCTAAACAGCCAGAATGGGCTATACATTACTGGAATCAGAATAAAAAAAATATTTTGAACAAAGAGACACAAGACACTCATGTCCTGGGTCACACCTTCTTTCTCCATATACAAATCTTGTGCCAACTGGGAAACCTTCCAAGAGGAACAAGTGCACACCACTGGAGCAGCTCCTGCACAGTCAGTTTGCCACATCATTGGCATAAAGAAACCCCTAAATACACTTCAATTGGGAAACATTTCACTTGCTGGTTGACCATGGAACAAACAAGATGGACTTCATCTGTGCAAATTATCTCCACATTTGTTTCTTTTCAAGATTATATGTATATTAATGTTTCTACTCTGACAAACGATTCTTATCTAGCAGGTTGCAGTAATCAAATATTAGCTTATGAAAGAGATCTCAGCAACACAGGGTTCTGTAGAAAAATTATGACCCTACTGAGATTCTGCTTTCTGAGCATAATAATGAACTATGATAATGAACAAATAATGAACCCTTATTTTAGTTGCAGCTAAAATTTTAATTGAGATTTTATATCATGTAGTTAACCAATTCACTCTAAGCAACATAATATAAACTATATAAGAACTATTCTTGCTATAATTGCTCCTTCCTTTTCAAAATTCTTTGTACTTCCATTCACAGTAAATGTGATGCATTTTGAATTCTTGTGGTGAGTTGATGCTTCAATATTTAGAGTGAAAAGGTGAGAAATATATGTTAAGAAACAGTATATTTTTTCTTTATATCAGGAAGAATGGTGGCTCTGGCATCTTGCTTTCCATGGCAGATATTATTTGCTTTATTGGTGGAGGCATAACGGCAGAAGTTACTTCTGGTTTTTATAAAACAGGTAATCCAAAGTAAAGCTTTACATCTCTGGTTGCAATATCCCATAAAGGTTTGGGGCACCGAGATCTAATAACTGATCTGTACTCATAAGAATTTATTTTACACACCTTGAGGCTAGTTATTCCTCTGTTAGAAATGTCAGATTCATTATATTCCGACAGTCTTCATAACCACTTGATAGTCTACAAACCCCTAGGTTTGATTCAGTTGACAAATAAAAATATTATTACTAAAGTTACCTGTAAGAATCTCTGTTACTGATGGTATCATGACCAGAATCTTCTTGTTCATCACCTGTCACACTGAAACAGACTTTCTTTCCATTCCTTTCCCCCTTTTCATTATCACTGTCTGCTGGTATTAAAGGCTCAGGCGTTTTACGTTCAGATTTGGGAGAATATGTTATTGAAGAAAGAAGGCTGTGAAACAACAGGAAAAAAACCCAAAAGAGATTAATTCATATTTTTTAAAAGGGAGCTAACAACAGGATAACATTTCTCATTACCATCCTCCAACTATCACGTCTATAATATATGAAGGGAACATCTTATTCAGTCCATATCTATTTGAAACAAGAGAAGGAAGTGACACATTCTGTTGTTGAAAAGTCCAACAGTTAAACCCATTAGCCCTACTAAATACTCAATCGTGTATGAGCCAATGATTCCAGCTGGGGAAGAAACACAGCACATTCTTGGACACTTGGGGTCAAATTTTATATTAACATAACTATTTTTAAATCTGAATCATGTACTTCTCAGCACAAATCAAGAAAACAAACCAAAGATACTGTATGCCTCTGAAAAGCATGTATTTTCACAATTACTGCTGTACCAGACAAGCCAGTTTGCATCACAAACTATTTTACTACAGCATTTTAAGGATCTTTATTAACATCTCTGTGTATTTCGTGACACTCAAAGTGTCTAAGCCACTATCACTAGTAAAACTGATGATCATTATAACAAGCTTCCGTGACGAGCACAAAAGTGACATCCAGCCAAGAAAAGAAAACAGTGCAGACTGCTACTTTCAGAACATGCACAAATACTAGAAGCAAAAACTTAATATTCTTGGGTGATTAACTCATACTAAAATGTTCTAATTTTCTTTCAAGATCAGAACAGCTATAATGGGCAATTGTCCTTTAATTCCTATTGCTCAAACACTCCATTAGAATGACATGTTCAAACTAATATTTGGATTTCAAAAGCAGCATTTTTCTTGCAAAAAACTACCTTCTAACAACCTGAAATCAGAAGACACTGAATTAAGCCTTTTTTCACATAAACTATTTAGACACAGTAACAGAGTTTTATTGAAGGAGCTGTCAGAAAGGACAACAGGCAAACTTTCTACTGAATACACAGCAGGATTCAAACATATATAATTTTGTTACACATAATTCTTAATTCTGTCAGGAATAGACAAATATTCGTCCCACATATAGGTAAAAGTACTGATCTGAACTGTAACTAGAATATAGAAATCTTATACTGAAGGTCTAATTTGGCTGGACTTCAAACCCACCCATCCACTAGACTGACATCTTTTGGGCTACATGATGCCCTAACACTTCATATCAGTGTGAAATCACAACTCAGCTCTTTGCAATCGCTTAAGTCACTGGTTAGCAGGATTCCATGAGTGCAGGAAAATAGACGGGGTCCATATTTTACATCAGTTGATTTATGTGCTAGAATACACATGCTCTTGAATTTGTGCTAAAATTCAATGTCTTATGAAAATGTAGACCTTAGGAAATCAGTGCTTCATATCTGTAAAACTTGCTTTCTTCATAAGAAAATATAAAAGGGGTTCAAAAAAGGATTACACAAATTCATGGTAGATCGTTCTAACGGTGCTCTTAAACCAAAAAAGTCCATTCCAAGAAGACCATGTAGTCCTGACTGCTGGAAGATGAGATAAGGACAAGGACTAATCTATACTAGGACAAAGACTAATCTATAGTTTTGTTTGTTCCTGTGTTCATGTTATCATCCACTTCAGAAACTGGGCCTTGGGCAGATACATTCTGGTAACTTCTTGTGGATTTTGTTGTTGCAAGAAAATAATGAAGAGTAAGAAATAAGCATAAGGAACTGCAATTTCAGCTCCTGAAAATATCTTCCTCTGAGTAATTATTTGTCAAGACACAGACAGACTATTATATCCTCTTCTTTTATGTGACTGTTTAGTCACTGCTGCCAAGAGCTCAGTAGAAGACTGATTAAGGTAGCTGGAACTTCTCCTAAGGGAGCTTTTCCCTTTCTCTCAGCATACAGGCTCTTCTTCTAAGGAAAATTTTTTTGCTGAACTACCATGAACAAAAGCTGGAACTCTGGATAACAGAGGTCTAGAGCTGGTAGTTCCTGAGGTCACTTAAGTGCTCTTAGAAACCCAGTTCAGGGAGTTTAGAACACACAAACCAAAATGTGGATGCAACTCCTCCCCAGTCATCAGGCTAAATATACTTTTGTTTGTTTGTTTTGTTTTTTCTTCTTAAACACATCACACACACATTGTATTTTCTTTGGAGATGGGCCTACCCCAAACAAAATTATCTTAGATGCTCTCAAAGGAGAAATGTGTGAATGAATAGTAAGTAACAGCTAGAAAGGCTCTATGAAGCGTATTTCCACAAACCAGAGAAATTTATATTCTCCGTAAAAAAAAATCCTCACTTATGGAATTAATCCTACAATGCAACCAAAAGCAACACAACCCTGAAAAACAAAACCTGCTATAGTTAGTCAGAGCATTAAAAATGGATAGCCACAAGCAGTAACAAAAAACCCCATGCAACCTGTTAGCTGCTTTTTATTTTTCTCACCCCACAGAGACTTTGAAAAAGTTCAAGCTTCTTGTATACAGACACCTTTCCAAAAAACAACTGGGATCACGAGAGCACACAGAGTGCATATGAACCAAGAACACAGCAGAGTCACCATACAGAACACAACTTGAAAAAGGATTTATTTCTATGTAACTCCTAGCATCAATGGGGGTATCTGCAATGGCACTAAATAAGCACTGTGATATTGTTGAACTATTTGAATGAGAACACAGTGGAATCTTGAGAGGCTGTAGAAAGGGGATACATGTGTATTTCTCTCTCTCCATCAGTACTATATTTCTTATGCAACCCAAACTCATCAGCAAGACATAACGTAGGTTGCTATGCAGACAACACTAGGAGTACACAACCTTCTCTTCAATATTTCCTTCCCACAATCCACAAGCTCTCACAGATATGCTCTTCAGATGAAACACTTGTTTTTCAATTCACTAAGAGATAGGAGAGGTTGAGTAGGTAACACTGCCTCAAAATTTTGAGAGCTGAAACAGACGCCAGTACTGACCTCAACACAGAGCAGACATATCTAGTAACATGAAAGAGCAACAGTTTTTCAACAGTACTGTTATGAAGGGTACCAAAGAGTCACTTAGCAGTACAATTTTTCTATCACACAGTATCATATAAATTCAGAATTTTGATACCATGTTCACATTTTCTGTCCTGAGAAAATTTTAATGAGGACTGATGATGATGATGATGATAATAACAACAACAATAAACAATTCTCTTCATAATAAGAAATTCAGTAAATAAAGACATCAATTTTATTGTTCTATGTCATAACAGAAAAGTTCTACTGTCTTTATAAAAAAATTTCAAGGATCAGTATGTTCAAGCATTTCCAGCTAGCTGCTGAAGTGTGAAAATTTCTAATTAAAGCACAGCTGTTGGATTACCCTATCTTATTACTCTGTCTTTCATTTCTTTGTAGTCCTAACTTTTATCTCAAGAGTTAATTAGTAGCTGTGACTATGTTCTAATATAATACACCATGTACTTCTGAACTGCTCACACCCAAATAGTCCTGACTTCCCTCTTCACTGGTCAGCACTTTTAAGTAGGTCCCTTGGCTATTCTGTTTCCTGTATAGAACCACTTTCCCCCACAGGAATTACACACTGGCTGTCCACTCAAAGTCCATAAGGAATAAAGCATGAAAAGTCTCATTCTTACAAATAGCCAAAGTAAAATATGCTAAATAAATCTGTGCACATTATACGAGATCTGCTACAAGGTCAGTGTACAGGAAATTTAGGAAAGGAAAAAGTAACGAAAGTCACAACTGTGTGACTCTAAAAATGTATATATGCATGTATATGCATATTCCTGTACACACAATTTATATGTGTGTGTGTATTTATATATATATTTATTTAAAAGAAAGGCTCAGAATTTCCTGTGCTTTTTTTGCATCACAGGCTCAAAGGAATGGAAAGGAAAGGTGTGGCAGACTGGCAACTGGAACTTCCTGAAATACTGACTGAGCTTCCACATATAATTTTCTGATTTCCTTGAGGAAGAGTGACAACACAGACTTTACAGGGAGTCATTTTTTAAGTGCACCCAAACACTGAAATTATCATTGATTTAATGAACTGACTTTGTGTTCATCGTGATAGTTAGCAAAACTACATAAAGGCATGGAAAACAACATTTTCTTAAAAATACTGAAGCAACTCTTGCTCTCATTCATTGCAGTATGTAAGATATTAGTCACTTATTACTATTAAACTATTACATTACTATTAGAATATTTTTTTAAAAATTCCATTTTTAAGTAACCACGAAAGGACAAATCACTCTACAGTATTCAAGATAACAGGAGAAGCAATGATACACCACTTTTCTAAACTGAAGATCATGATTGTCTTTTATAGTAAAAAGCCTGTTATTTATTTATATTTTCAAAATGAGCAATTTCTGACATTTGTATTACATATGGGATCTTCCAAAACTGGAATACTTCTCACCCCTCTTCATCCTTATCCCAAGACAGCAAATAGTCTAGCAGTCAATGTGCTTATCTCACAAATTAAAAAGCAAGTTATAAATCCTTGCCTTGAATTAGGACAAACTGTGTTGACACTGAGTCTCCCACATTCAAGTCAAGTGCCCTAATCACTCAAGGGTGGCTCTCCCTAGATAAACAGTTCTTCTTTAAGGTAAATTTGCTTTTGAGAAATGTCTAAAAGGTTAATACTCTTGCCCTAGGTAAACAATGCCTTACTTAAAAAATCATCTGTGGGACTACTTTGAAGAGTTCAAGAAAAGCCATTTTTACACCTCTGCCCTTTCTTTCCATTCTTAGTGAAATTTTAGGTGACACATTTGCCTTTTTACTCATCTCAAAATAATTAACTTTTCCACATTCTAGAGAAAAACTACAAACTAAACTGTGCGGGAAAAAAAGATCAGGTTCACTGTGAAAAAGATTGAAATATAACATTACCTACATTCAATTCTTTACCTTATTTCAACTCTGTCTGAAGTCAGCATTGATTCCTACATTGCACAAAAACAACACCCAGATTTATCATTCTCTTCAGTGAAAAAAATTAAAGGCAAGTCCAGATGGTAACATTTACTTACTCATCTATTTGACAGACACATGTTTCCACCTCTTTCAGTGCAGCCTGTAATTTGAACAGCAATTTCTGATAGACATCCTGTGTTTCTAAATCTTCTTCTTTTAAAAGGTACCTCAGACCATGGCCCTCTTGCTGGCCAAGAGACTGTCCTGAAGGGGCAGCCATAGTAGTGATGGTATGTTGGACATAAATCATGGGATTCAGTTTGCCTGGGAACAATCCAAAGAGATTACATCATAATCTTTTTTTTTCAACATACTTTGTGAAGTTAGTAAAATACCTAACAGACATTGAAATATTTTCCCTTTTGAAATGTCAAGTAATTATTTAATTTTCCATTTAATTTGCATATGAAATTCAGGCTATTTAGGAAAAAGTTATTGTTAAATGCTGACAATCCTTTATTACGCTTTAAAATTAATCTAAGTATCCAAAGTAGGGTGATTTCACAAAGGCTTATCCTTAATTTTAATATTTGTGCTATAAACCTAAACTAATTGCCTTTTAAGACTCTCTCAGATGCACTGAAAGTAGTTCTTTCAAGTTCAACTGACTTACCTTGATCAGTATTTTTATTTTCCTTTTCATGGGAAGAATGTTTCCTGCTGTCCAACTGTACACCAAAGGCACTACCAAGGGAAGTTGAGGTTTTAGGGTAAGAGACTTCCATCACATTAATATGGCAATTCGTTGGACAGAAATCACTGCTGTGAAGTGGTGAAATCTTTGACTTAGCTTGTTTGAAGGTCGGCCAAGCTCTGTTTTTTAATACTCTTGAAAACTAGGAGTGAGAAACAAAACCAAGTTTCGATTAGCAGCTCTTGATGTGTCAGCACTTGGTGACAATACTTGTGTACCTGACTAGAGAAAAAAGGTTTAAAATATTTCAGTTATCCTTGACTTCAGATGTCTTGACTTAGTGATTTTCATCTTTCTCTACATGAGAAAGAAAAAGACTTTTCATTTTATATTTTAAGAGATTTTTGTTAAGTAAAAAATATTTTAAGATGTAAATAGCTTTGCAAACAAAGAGATAGGATATATTTTCCATGAAACATAATAAGAAACTAAATGTCTTTCTGGGGAGAAACTCTGGAACTGCTTTATGATCCAGTGCTGTACTGGCATGACATTTATGAACACCTGCAGACATAGATGTTTTTAAGCCAATGTCTTGCAACAATTTATGAAATTTTTGTCTGATGCTATAATAAAGACAGAATTAAAAACTATTAATTCTTTCCTAGACTAACACCTCTTCTCTCCCCGCATTCTCATCCCCCCTCTTCAAGCAATGAGGAATGCTTGTTTTGGCTTTTTTTCCCCTGTTTGATGGTCTAATTCTAATACAGTGCTTAGCCATATCTTCTTCACTCTAACACCTGAAATTTTTAAGCACTTTTGAACAGGCTTAGTGTTATTTGAGTTTTAAGATGAGAAGATGTCAACTCAAATGGTGAAGACTTAACTGTACTAAATTTAGACATTCAGAAAATCCATCTACTTCAGAATCATAAAAGCAATGCTCTCCCATAGAAGAGACACTTCTCAGACTAAAGTAAGATTTTGTCAAAATGTGCCCTTCTCAGTGCAGTTTGTTGTTAGGAGAGAGTTTTTTTCTGGCAAGACATAATCAGTTCCAAGCCCCTGGTATTTTAATCACAGTATCTCTTCAGTCAAAATATTATATATTAGTCTTGAGCTATGGACCATAGCTCAAGAATAAGAATATTTTTAAAGTCAACTTGCAAAGCTCCTTCACTAATAAATGTCAGTACAAATTCACTCAGTCAGGTTTTGACTAACACTTCAGTTGAAGAAAGGCACGTCCCTTCTGCATAGTAACACGTTTTTGTGCTGGGACTTAAATTTCTGTTTATTTTGGTGTCATATTACTTCAGCCCAATGAAGATTTGATGGATTAATTACATTTAAGTCTTTAGATCATGACAAAATCTGGAAGGTTAGAAGAAATCCAATTATGGAATTGTTCAAAGGCTGAAGAATGTAGAAATCGTTAAGAAGGGCACTAAGGACATTCAACGATGAAAATGTTTCTGCAAGCAGTACATATTTCACATCTCAATCTCCCACACATCCTGCTCCAGAGAGACCAAATGCCTGGCTATGATTTAATCAGGTCATAAGTCAGGCCCAGAATTTTTTTCATATATGTGTTGAGAAACATCTGGGACTCATGGCCCTGGACTTGAGGTCTATTATGAGCAAAATATTCTGATAATAATAATAGTAGGAACTGCAGAAATCTAGAGCTTCTATTTATAGCATTCGAACTTTCACAGTGAATCCAGGAGCCAAGCTGGGATCAGGCACTCCGAAAGTCTCCTGTAACTATGGTTACCTTTACCTTGCCAAGAAAACGACACATCTATCCCTGAAATTCACTGCGTTACTAATTGTCATTAAAAGCTGTAACTGTGAAACTAGTGATTTTTGAGCAGATGAGCTTGAAAGTGCAGTTTGTATCAGCAATACCTGCTTTCAGACAGTATAAGCACTATGAAAGCTTCCCTGAGGCAGTTTGCTTCATATTCAGCAAACACAACAAAATTTCATTTATTATCTTGGCCTCCTGTCTGAAGACTGTATATCATGATCAAATTTTTCGGCAACAGAAAACATATAAACAACCTACATGTTATTTGGACTCTAAATACACTATTATTAATGTTAAAACTAATGAATTTTGTTTTTTAAAAAAAAAGGTATTTTGAGTTTTAACCAATTTGAAAACATGGAGGTTTGTAATTCAGGCAAACAACAGAGAGATCAGAGGTTTAGTAATGCAGTATCGGAATCCACCTGATGTCCATGACTCAGCTCATTTTATTCCATCGCTCTTGTCAGAGAGCCTTTGGCCTTCATCCTACTGAAGCTACAGATATTCCTAACAGTTCTCCTACTTTTCCTTTGAAAAATAAGAAAACATTATCCATTCTTATCCATGCAACTTTTAGAATGTGTGAAGCTTCTACATTCAACAACTTCTCCTTTCCTTTTTTTTTTTTTTTTTAAACTTTTTGCATGTTAACTCTCAGAACTGACCTACTGGTAAACATCACAACTCAGATCCCCAACCAAGATTAGACAGGGCAGTGCTAGTTCTATGGAGCCATTTTGAGCCTACTTCAAAGTAACTCCACACGTCCAAGATTTAGGATATATGGGAGAGAAAGTAGAAGCCTAAATGAGAAAATAAGTTTGCATTAACAGATTGGAAAATGGTTCATTCACTTATGTCCTGCTTAGTTAAACAGCTGTAGAAAAATACACATACAGCAACTGGGTCATAGTCTGGGTTATTTATTCATTCACATGTCATTAATTTAGATCTCAAGCATATGAAAGTCAGCACCTTCTACATTTTTCCGTGCTATAATGTTTTATTAACCCAAGTCAATCTAACAATTTACAGAGCTGTTACTATTAAGAGTCATACTAGAAAAAATCACACCAATTTGAAGGGCATAAAAGTTGAATAAAGGGGTAATAATCTGGTATTTAACATTAAGATGCATCAGAAGGAAACAAAGATTTCTTTTCATTATTGCTTCATTTTTGGTTAACATCTGCAAATTCACTAGTGTATTGGTTTAAGGCATTTACAAGAATTATGAGTCTTTTGTGGAAATATGCATTATCTAAAACTGAACACAGCAATCAGGAAAGGATACAAACTATCCACTGTCTAAAAAAGGACAATAAAGAGCATGGTTTGAAAACAATTTATGCAATTAATCAATTTAGGCATTCACACCTCAAAACAACTAGACTTTCAGCCACATTTTTGTCATTGTAATACACATTTTGAAGAGCTGTTCAAACTATACAACATTCTCCTGTTTTTCCCTTAAAAGACAAATATAACCAAGCTTAGGACATGCCGGTCATACCTTTTTATAACTAGAGATTCTTCGGTAGATATGCTCAATTTTCTCACTGCAAATGACACTGAATTTACTTTGAAGCTCAATGGGAATCACTTCATTTAAGGAACTGAGGCTGTTGCAGTTCTGCACAAAATGTTCATCGCTTTTTGCCAGTGCTTCAAGAATCTAGGATAATAAAAACAAGAGCAGTACATTATGAAATAAGTTGATTAAAATTTCCCCTTACTTAACCCCTTACTAATCATCTCATAGAATTAAAGCTGGAAAGCCTGATAATCAGTTGCTTTTTAACATTATGGGGAATGGTGAGTAACAACAGTGAATGAAACTCGGGAAGCAAAGAATCAAAGAATCATAGAATCAACCACTTGGAAAAGACTTCAAAGATCATCAAGTCCAATCCTACCATGGTTACTAGACCATGGCTCTAAGTGCCACAGGAAGTTTCTTTAAATCTATTCCCTGCTAAGTTATACACATAAGTACTTTTCTTTGGCTTCTCATGACATTGTCTGATTATGGATTTACTACTAATTTCCTACTAATGTAACTACTATGGCTCCTCTGAAATACATTATCTGCTGTATTTACTTGATCAGAATATATTATGCAAAGCTGATGAATTAATTCATTACTTGGTCTTGCAGTTTAAGTGATACTAACACATTAAAAATGCATACAAGAAAACTGAGTATTATCCTCTTGTATATTCTGAATACAAAACCAGGTAACAGGCTACAGGATAAGCTGTATGGTCCAGCAAAGTCTGAAATCTTGCTATGATGGAAATACTACCAGCAAATGATAGTGAGAGAAAACTAAACAAAAGTTATGCTTAAGAGATGAGGGTAGAATATAGTCCTTTATTTTTGAGTTAAAGTATTTCAGGCATTGAAATTCACTGTGCTATGGAACTTGGGAGGTGCCTATTGCCAGTTGGGTCCAGCTATATCCTGGGAGAGCCCCAGCAGGTTGAATTAAGGGAAGTCTTTAACTCTTCTGTTATAGTGTTAAGTTACGGTATTAAAACACTCCAGTGACTTTAGTTACAACTTTATGCTTCCTTTATGTCAAGTTCAATTAATAATACAAATTTAAATAATTCAAGCGGAGGGTTTTTGCAGCTGTACTTTCAAAAAATTGCATTCAAACCCAGTAACTTCTGCAGCACAAGTTTGGACAGTTTCTCATCACACTAGTTAACACAGATTTGCAGTCTAGGAAAGCAGCTCAGGATTATTTCACTCCCCTACTACATATGATGCAGAATACAGCTGTTTAAAAATGCAAAACAACAATAAAAACACAGTAAAGCAAGACACACATGGAAAGAAACATAAGACCCCACTGAACACACAGAGAAGTTTATATTTAGAGCATTTCAAACCATTTGCAGACAGTTATATTTGATAAAGTACCACTGAAATTCCTGGTATTGTCATTTGAGTAGAGACCTTATTTTTCTACCAGTCAACCCTTTGTAGACATTTAAATCACTATTAACTGAAACGAGCTTAATATTACCATAAAAATCATCCCATTACAACTCCTTATTGGCTTTTAATAATTTTAAAATCTTTAAATAGCCAGCCTAAACACTAAGGGTGATGACACTATTATGTAAGGCCAGATTCAGTGTGCAGGAAGCACCTCTTTACTTAATTACTTCACATTCAAAAATTAAAAAAAAAAAAGAAGTCATGTTATTGCTCCATTGGTATTAAGCATAGTAAAAATGAACAGATACAAAAATTGCCTCATACCTTTGCAGTCAAGCTGAAAAATCCCTTTGGTTCAATCATTTTTTCTAAGACATGGCACTTTATTCCAGCTGTGCTGTCATACTCATAAACCACTCCATACTCCAGATGAACATTGTCAACAGTCAGACTCACATGATCTTTCTTCCCATCAATTATTGCCATAGTGTTAAATTTGTCAATTACCTCTAGAATAAATAAAGTAACACAAATCAGATGGCAAGTGCTGGCCAATAAACAAACCAAAAAGGATACAGGCAAACAAGTATGTTCTGATCATTCTAGTTAAAAACATTCATCAAAACCCCCAGCTACCAGCTGAGTTATTTAAAAATCAGAACACCAGTAGGTTTATAGATTCAAAAATACTGGACTGCAGAACAGGCAGTAGTCTGTCTTTACAAACAGTTATAGAAGGGAACTAATTCAATTTCATTTATAATCCAGAGACATTAGAAAAAGCATCAAAAAAAAAGGGAAAACTGAGAATTTCTAATTAAACTGGAAGAAAATGACCACGATAAGTGTCAACATTCAGAAATGAAACCACAGTATCTGCATTTGCCCAGAGAACATAAACACAGCTCACATTTTAACTGTCTCTTTAATTACCAAGATGTATATGAATGCAGTTTTATCTAAATGTTAATTGCCTGAAAATAATTTGAAGGATAGCTGTTTTGTTATTTCTCATGCAGTAATGACTAACGCATCTAATTTGCCATAAATGATTACTAGTTGTGAAAATAAATCAGGTAATTCCTAGGATTAAGTATCTTACAAATGAAAATGGAACAGATTTTCCCCAAAGTGTTCACAGAAGCTTTGTCTCAAAATGAGAAAGGTAATAATTTTCAGAGAACAGCATGTTAAATTTACGTGTTTAGAATACCTAAAAAAGCAAATCCTTATGTAAAACACATCTTACGGTCAACTCAAAATTTTCTCTCTGAAAACAAACCCACTGCCTACATTTTCCTTGCCACTACACCAACATGTTGAGCAACAACAAAATCAAAACAAGCATCACATACCTTCCACTTTGCAGTCAAAGGCATCCCCTCCATCATCTCCAGAGGGCTTGGTGTTTGTTTTCTGAAGATCTTCCTGTGCGCTTTCAATGCTGTTGTAAATCCACTGTATAGAATCTTGCTAAAATAAACAACAACAAAAAGGAGATCTAGAGAAAGCTTTGTAAGAGCAATTGATAGAAACTATTTCACTGCTCTGAAGCATAAAATAGTTGTTTTAATGCCCTGATTATTATCAGCTTTATTGCCTCATGAGGTCTAAGTTTAAAAAAAAAATAATCAAAAATTACAGAGAATTTTGGCATTGTATGAAACCATCAAAAAATTTTGGCGAGTTAGTTATTTCAGAGTATACTGTCATGAGACAGTATGAAATCTGTGACAGCATGACATTCATCAGCTTCATGTCTCTGCCAAAAATAATTTAAGACATTTCAAATCAAACTGCAGATTGAAAAATATTTGAGACAAGAAATGGTGAAAAAAAATAAAGAGAATCATTTTTTTGTTTTGCTCAACATGCTGTGCATCCACAAATGTGCTGGAAAATATTATGGAATATCAACCAAATAAACAGTATGTACAGTTAATCTATCACCCATGTGTCACTGGCACAAAGAACATATTCTACAGCCCTCATTACTTATATTTGCCTCTACTACACTTATTTTACTAGATATTTCTTACTTTTTTCCCCAGATTAGCAAAACCCCCCAAAAGAACAGAATCATGGGCCCCAACAAATCCAGCATCTTATGTGACTGAGTGACACGTGAGCACATGTGTCATCCAACCTATGCAGAAGCCACATGTATGCCTCCCATCTTGTTCTCCCCAGTCCATTGCTCAGACACATGTCCATCACATGCTTATGGAAGGGTCTATCAAGTATGGCATCTCCAGACTACTCTTCTTCGACCCTTACACTTCAAAACCGGCTTGAAAGACAGTTAATCACTCTCTCTCCAACAGCTACAGCACAATAAATGATATGATTATGACAAATCTGAATTCAGAGACTTCAAAAAGAACTTTGTGGAAGAATTCAAAGTTAAGCAAAAACAGTAAAAATTTAGGCTGAATGTTAAAACCTTCATGCAAAGTGCCAAATACATCCAATTAACGTTTGCTAATATATAACATTCAGCTTTATCCCGTCAATCATCAACAACTAAATATTTGTATGATTAAGGCCCTCTTTCTCTTTAGGTTTCCTAGATTCACCTGTGTCTTACTTTTCATTCAACGGCACTGAACCATCTTAACAAGAAGGCTTAACTTTCAGGTTCTTGGCTGATTTTTGGAAGACAGCTATGCAGAAGCTGTTCAACAGGAACACTTCTGAAACCCATACTTCTTTGCAGGTGCACCTGAAAGCTTGCTGGTTATTTATGGATTCTTACAGGTTTGCTCAGCAGCATTAAGACTCCCATGCCAATCTCTAATAGGATGCACTAACTACTTAAACAAGAAATCCCTCATTCAGAAGTAAACACAAGATCTAATGCAATACGACTTGGAGCAATGTTCACCAAAATCATTATAGAGGCACAAACTAATTATAAGTCTGTCACATCATGATTAGCATCACTGCAAAGAAATTGCAATTCGAAGAAGCAAAATCTGCTCTCAATTTTCTCTATCCAGGCAAGACAGAAAGAAGATAAACATTGTCCAACAGAAGTTACAGTTATTCACACTGCAAGAATTTGAAATGAAGCTTCATGCTCCAGGCAAGCAGGAAGACTCCTTATCCTGAGAAGTAGAAGATAAACAGAAAAAGATCCTCTTTCAATTATGCAATTGGTAACCACAGGAGAGACTGCAATATTCGTAGTAATTAAATGATAGGCTAATGCACCGTACTTACAAAACAGGAGAAATCCACTCATCTTCCAAATAATAAGAAAACCCCCAACTTTCTGAATAGGAAACGAAATTTTAGCTTTCTTGGCACCAGTGGGAATACTACCATTTATTTCAGTCTAGACAGCTCTTCCATAGTTTTTGATAGCACTACATCCTAAATGAAGTTTTTCCTGTCAGTCTGGGGAACTTCAGTTATCTGTGATTTGCTGAACTATGATCAGCTACTTTTTAAGATTGAAATAAATACTCTGTATAGGAAAAACTCCAAGTTATTACAGAAGTGGATTAAAAAAACCAAAGCAATTCTTCATGTCAAGGCATTCATGCCAGCCAACATTAATCAATCCTCTTTGGATGTCACTAATATCCATAGGAAGTCTACAGTTATACACAGAGAGAACACAACTGCTATAGAGAATTTAATTTATCTTTTTTTCAAGTCCGTTTAGCTACAAGTGCACAAAACATCCTCTCTTTACTAGAGTACATCTTCCTTTAAAGAATACGTGAGCTTGATCTTGACATGCTGTGCAACAACTTCAATTCTGTATTAGAATTTAAACATCCAGAAAACATTTTCATAAAGATGGTATTTGTATGATACAGTTCTAACTATATAATTCTTATATCTACGCAGTAGGTGTGGAAGAAGGATTTCACTCTTGATTTTAATTGGATTTTTCTCCTCAGTGAACATGTACTGGAATAGTTTGTGAAGTTAATTAATGATATTGGTTTGCAGTTTATGAAAAATTTGCAGGGACTTGGAAAAATTACATTATAGAATCCAGTTGATTTTGGTTTTCATCCTTGAAATTTGTTTTGGAAGCCTGAGATTTGCTCTTAAACTAACATGAAAAAGATAACAGAATTTGCATATGTATACTTTAAAAAAAAGGAAATTTTGAGTCCTTGAATGCATGTTTATTCCCAAGATTGGAATGTAATGGGAACTCAGACTTTTATAGATGGAATATGTGCACTGTGCTCTCTGTGAAGTGCTACAAAATTCTGGAAGATGATCAGCTTTTTGCACTGCATTCTCCTGCTGTTGAGCAGGCAGCAAGCTGCGTGATTCCCTCTCCATCAAGATGAGAATATACCTCAGAATGCTTTCTGCTTAGAACTGCAGAAATACTTGAAATAATCCTTTAAAAATACTATATAAAAATTATCTCTAAGCTTAGATTTATTTCAGTGCAGAAATTAAACAGTCCTTGAACATCAGCAATATATTGAGCAATCTTCAGCTTTTATATTTCAACCAGCTTCCTTTCAGTTTTATTCAGCATTCCTTTCCCCTCACCCCACTCAAACTCAACAGACATGTGGACAGAGATAGTTTGTTGACTTTGACTGAAAAGAAACTAGGAAGAACATGTGTAAGGGTCCAAACATGTGTAAGGGTACAAAGAGAGACATACCTGCATCGGCCGCCTGTACTTCCTGCATGCTGTGACATGAGCAATAACACTTGCATGAGTCTCTTTGCTGACATTGATTCCATTCACTTTGATTATGCACTGGCCAGGATGGAGACCTGCCACAGCTGCCACTGTTCCTATTAATAAACACCCACATAGTTAACAGACTTCTTTTCCTAAACATCTCCTTTAAAGCTTACAGCCTACAAGCCTGTTACTTTTTTATCAGAACCTGCTCTCACCAATTCTCACATACTTCCCCTGACCACAGGGTGCTCCTGCAGGCAGCTCGACTCCAAGAAAATGGAGTTTTCCAGCAAATGACTCCATAGAAAAGGACCAGAAAATTTTCAAAAGGCTGTTTTATAAAACAACAACTGTTGATTAGTAATATGAAAATGTAGAAAATTTGTCTTAAGGAAAAACACCTTTAAAAAAATAAAATGGCTCTGGCTCGAATGTCACTAATTACAACTTAAACTACTTTTATTTTCAATACTTTTATATGTTCAAGCTTATGAGCTTCTCGATTATTTCAGGTGTTTCTATTTTACATACAAAACAGAAGCTTTCTGACAATTCATGAAGAAGTACCAGAGCCTACCAGAGTTGCCTGTTAAACATTAAGTGAAATACCCAAATCCAAAGGTATTTCCAAGGATCTTGTTCTAGTTTCCATCTTTCCTACCAACTCAATTATAGCAGAGTGCCTTACAGCTTTAAATCAAAATACACAAAGATAATTACGTAGGATATCTCAAATTTATTTATTGGGGAGGAACCAAAACAAAACATTCTCTTTAAGCAACATAAAATATATGGTTCAGTGATTCATTTTCACAATGGAATAACCACCTTGGGAAAATCTTTTAGCCACTGAATAGGTACTACAAAAATAGCAGCTGTCTCCAGGTCTTTTCAGCGTGACAAAAACCCACTCCTGAAAGACAGCCTGCTGGAGTATGACCTCAGTTCCAGCTACCTGAACATTCACATCCTTACGTCTCTCTTGATACTGCCACAGAGGTACCAAAGAAGTAAAAATCTACTGCCTAGAGACTGCAAGGCTGAGGTGCAGAAGCTAGCTGCTATGTAAGGAAAGGCTAGACTGAATTTACAGGGCTGACAAATAGAAAAGCTTGTCACAGCTTCATGACTCGTCAGTTGAGCATATTTGACAAGGAAATAACTTATAGAATATACCTGAATTTCCCCCATTTTAGGAACTATCACTTTAGATTATAGCTGCATTTTAAATCTAATATAAAAGAAAGTCACTGGAAATTACACCATTACCAGCTATTGCAATCTCCTCTCCCCCAAAAAATTATTTAAAAATAAACATCTAAATAGGCCTTATTAAATATGTCTCAAAAAAATCTCTCTCGTCAAAAAACCCAAGGTCCCAATTCAGCAAAGTGTTTAAGCATATGCTTAAAATCTTTCAGGTTTAGCAAACCACACAAGCAAGCACTTGCATACTGCTGAGGCTAATTGGAATAAACTATGTGCTTAATGAATAAGGATAAGCAGTTGAATCAAGATCCAGGTGCAGAAATAATTATCACATCAGCTCAACAGTCTGTAGTTTATTATCTTTCTCTCAAAAATCTAATTTCTGGCACCATGGCCTAGAAAAAAAGTCATCAAACTCTGTCCAAATCTGGCTGCTTTGCAGATCAGTTCACTTTAATTCCTCAGCTATAAAGGCAGCAGGGGGCAAAAGGACACCACCGACCCACAAAACCAAAGAATGCTGCAACTTCTTTTATCACAAGTGCACCAGTCAAAAACATACTGAGTAAGGGATGGCAAGTATTTGACAATCACATCCCAAAATGGACTCAACAGCATTTAGATGAAACACCTGCAATTACTGAGACAGACTAGTATGTGTGGTGCAGAACCACACAGCCACTTAACAAATTAACACTCAGGAAGTGACTGGTTCCCAACAATCATTCATTGGAGAAGGTGATTTTGCATCCATCAGTTACTCCTTCATCTGTAAAGAGTGCATGGCTTTAACTTAACTTTCCTACACTGGTGTAAGTACATACCAAAAAAAAAGTTGGAAGATCTATCCGAAGCTTATAGAGCATATGAACACAAATAATAATATCTGTTTCTATTCAACAGTGTTTGTTATTTTGGGGCAGAGGCAGATCTAAGCTGGATCACTGGACCTAATTTTGATCTACCTCAGCCAAGCTATTTAGATTTTAAATACATATTTTGCAGTACCATTGACAGCTCTTATGGCTCACCTCTCCCAACAGCATGGACAACTGACGGGCCAAAGCCCCGAATTTGGAATCCAAGTCCATCTGCAGAGTCAGGAATCTTCACCGTCCTGATACAAGCAAAGATTCAATATTAATGTAGCAAAAGCTAGCATTTTGTTATTTAATATAAAAATGAACAGCAACAAGTAGGTTACAAGGGTGTAAGGCTCCACACTTTAACTCAATTCACAGTTTCAGATTCTGCATCATTCATATTCCAGATACTGTGCACCACTGACATCAGAAAGAAGAGCAAGCTGAGACAGCAAAAACAATGTATTTCACATGGAAATTCAATATGCCAATTACAAATAAAACACCACCTTAGCTTTAAAATTCCTCCCAAAGGGACTGCCATTTGGGTAAGCTGCCACAGCACAGCAACACTGAAAGCCCTGGGAAGGCAGGCAGTCTCTCATCCAAGAGGACAGAGCCTAGGGACCACAGATCTCAGTAGGCCTGGTCAGAATGAGCTGCAGAGGACTGCAGAGCCTAGATTAATATTACAATTTGTTAACATCTAAGTGTCTACTTGGTGAGTTTTCTTGAAAAAATGTTTTGTTTGCATTTTTTCTGAGCAGCTACGAAAAATACTGAGTTTTGTAAAGCAAGAATCATCTATTCATGTGACTTGTAAGCACATTGTGCTACGCTCCGGTTTGGTCTAAGAGCAACAGTAATAAACCTATTGACAAATCTGAACAACAAAAACACAGTTCTGAGAATCAAAATTCTCATCAACTCCTTAAAATGAAGCCCCAAGCTCACCCAAAGTAAGTTAGCATACCCACATGATATCAGCTCAGGGTCTAGAAAAAGCAACACAGCTGCATTAGCCCTTATCAGAGCTAGTTAGCTCATGCATAACAGTGCACTGATTTAACTTTGCAGCCTTTCCTTCCAGAGTCAGCTCTGTTGTTATTTCAGGGATCTTTGCCCTGAGCTCCATTTGCCACTGAAAAAGTAAACAAATTCAAATTGATGCTGAAAAGTGATTTTCAAATACATTTGGACTGCAACAAACTTGATCTACAGGGATTTTTGAATAATATAATTGCATAATTTCTTGTACTTCTTTTTTTTTTTTCTAGTATACATAATGTTTAACATTTGGAGATGATAATCAGAGATGAGATCCAAAACTCAGTGGAGATTATAATCCTTTTAAAATGTTCAAATATTACTGAGATTAATAAATTCTCATTTGAAATATTTTTGTAAGTATAGCATAATTAAATGTACTTACATATTAACTAATGTTGATATAATCTATATGGCTGCATTCTGAAAATGCTTTGCAAACGTGCTAATGAACTATGAAAGACCATCACTGGCACTTTAGGCTAAGAATTTACGAGAGAACTGTCTCTTCTGTCAACAGAGTTGCGCTAGCAGCAGCTCCTGACAAAAAGCAGGCGGCACCGAGAAATTCTTCAACTCCTGTGAACACTTCATTCACTAGACCATCTCCGTCAACCTTGAAATTCACCCACAAGTTGTGTCAGAAATTAAACCAAGATCTGCATTAAAAAAAGGCCAAGATATGCTTTTATGCTTGCTACAACACTATGATTGACTGGTTTGGGGGATTTTTGGGTTGTTATTTTTGTTTGAGGGGATGGGTGTTGGAGTACCAGTCCAGATGAGCATCTTCATGCCATATTTCTTTCTTTACTCTTTTCCCCTTTCTGGGTGGCATTTAATTTCTCAAGACTTATTAACAGGAGAAATACATCTCCATTCTGCCACTGAGCCAGAGCCATTTCTGAGCGAGGCACTCTGTGTGTGCTGTCTGGTAACAGAGGATGGCTCCTCTTTACTCTGCAAAATTTGATCAAAATTACTTCTGACCAGTTTTTCTTAGTCTCCTCCTTCTTTGGTATGTTGTAACATACTGCAACAACTGCATTAACTTCACTAATAAGCTCATTTAGGTATTTACTGAACCCAGCCATTAGGCCTTACTTTATATTTCTTTTATGCAACAAAACTTTCATTTCGGTAGGAGTGGTCAAAACTTTACACAGAAATGCATCTGTTACATAAAGATGAAGAGCTGTTTACTTGGCCCTGCTGTTTACACAACCAGCAGGCATGCTGGAGGGGCCCATTAGAGCACAGAGTCTGACTATGCCAAACCAGCAACTAATCCCCAGACAGAGGAATTTGTTTAATTCACACACTGAGAGATAAGTGATCAAAACTGTCCATACAATCAAGGAAACTTCATTTACACTTGAAGTTCCTGCATGTATTTAAAGTGGCAGAGCTGGAGATTTAAAGCACTTGTGTTTCACTTTTGCTGACTCACAAATGTAAGTAAAACAAAATCAAAGCTGATCAAATCACTTGACTTTACAAAGTCAGATCAGATACAGCATTTAAAATAACTTTACAGTAGTGCTGTCTGAAGTTCCACTGGTCTTTTAAAATTCACTTCAATTGTAGTTTGTAAAATTTCCCCCAAAGGCAGGACAACTTACTCCCGTGGTTTAGTGCTCATCAGAACCCGCAGGGGCTGTCTGCTGTTTAAACAGGCTTTCAGGAAGCAATCCACTTCACTGAAGGGTCGCAGAAAAACCAGGTCACCGTTAATGGCAAAGATTTTCTTCCCAACTTCCAAGCCTGCCATCTAGAAAACAATAACCATTGTGTATTTGTTTGCTTTTTACAACCACTAACTTTATGTTTTCTTTGCTGGCATGCAACCCCAACAGGAATAATGATATGCACATTTTCTTTACATTCTTTGCAATTCCTTCACATTGTACACACAAAGGACTTACACCACAAAATGCTTCTAAAACCAGTTAAATTGATGGGAAGGGTACAGCAAACACTCATTCTGAAGAGACCGAAATACAAGACCTAGTCTTAATCAAGATTTTATGAGAGTATTCCAATATCTGCTATACTTCTAGTAATTAACATAACAGCTTTGATTAAGACATTCATTTTATGATAGTACTTAATTTGTGCATCCATCATTTTCCAAAGGAACTAAAGCTTCTTTTCATAAAGACATGGTTAATATTTTACCAATTGAATATTTATTAAGCTCCAAAACAAAACACTTTTAAAACTCTGGTTTAACAAAAAGGAACTATCACCAGTTGAAAGGCAGGAGTGCACAGAGCGGCTCAGGGTACAGGCCAAGCCCTAGCACTACCCGAGATAATGGCAGAACCTGACTGGTAGAAATCACCCTATATAGCTCTGTGGCTGCATTCTATTATTGATTTGCAGTATCTATTTGTATCTTAAATTTCAATTCCACAATCAGATTTATAAAGCCTTGAAGTCTAAGTCCAAATATTTTCCCTGAGGAAGAGACTCGTTCTTTATCTTTATATATATAGAGACTCCCATGCAGTTCAGTAGAAAATGAATTTACCTAAAGAGCATCTTAAAGCAATACTAACAAATAGGAAGGATCTAATTTATTAATTCAGATTCTCAAATTCTAGACTTTATCAAAAACTTGGTACATCCTTTATTATGAAATATATCAAGTACAATGCGCTGACTAGCTTTATATTCATTTCATATTCTACCAAAAATGTTTATTCCACTCAGGACTGATGTCATCACTGGAACATTATAAAATGCATAAAAATAAAATTATTTATAATTTAAATTTGTAATACACAGTACCTCAGCATTTGATCCTTTCTCCACCACTTTAATAATTGGCACCTTATTTTTATCTTCTAAACCGAAACCATAGGTGCCTTCATTAGATTTAATCTGAAAAACAAAATGGTTTAAAACATTCTTCAGAAAGCATTAAGAAAAACTAAAGTTTATTCTCATTAGATAAAAATAAACAGTGCTAATTTATTGTTATTATGACAAATTTTTTTACTCATCAAAGCATACAATCATTGAGTTTCACTCACCAGTAACGACTTGGCTATGACATTTTCCACTACTTTCAGGTCATGTTTCATGAGTCTGTGCTTCATATTTGATCCTTCCATTTCTTCATCCGCATAAAAACGGAACAGCAGTGGTTCATCTTTAAATTCACTTTTCTCTAACACTGTATTATAGAAACCCGCACATTAATTCTTTTTTTTTTACCTTTTGAATATCATGTATTTCATGAACCGTAAAATACTGAACACGCATGCACATATGGAATGCTAGCACACTATTTTTGCATGTACGAATCTAAGGAAATCTTTTTTAACAGCCAACAATTTTTATTTGGATCCATTACAGATAGGTATCATTAAGCTCATTTTCAACTGCAACATCTGGATTCCACCAGGTTCGGGAAGACATATTAGCTTGAAAAGGTTTTAGTGAAAATGCCAAGCACAATGTTTCTTCCTAAATGGGATCTGAAAATATGATTTTAAACAGTTCTGCTGGGCAGCCGCTGAAGATGCTCACCACCACCAAGTTTTCACACTCTCCAGAGAGTGAAGCATGCCAGGTTCAGTATTAGAAATGGGTTTGGTGGGGATGAGGAAGCAACAAGAACAGCAGATGGATGCAGTTTGCATGTTTAAAAGTCAAAGGAAAAAGAATGAACAATGCCAGAGAGAACATCAATTCTCCCTCCTTCTCTAATAAAAGCTGATAAAAAAATTTATTCCTCTTTTCATTTCAGTAAATGACCTACTGCTTCTTTGATCCTTTCACTGAAATCTTCCCTCTGACGGTATTAAATGGGACCTTGTTCACCTCCATTCTTATAGCAGACACTATAAAATTGACTGAATATAATTTTCAGAGGATACAATAGCTATCTTTTTTTCTTCAAGATTGTAACATAGGTCTCTTCAGTGATACAATGGAAGAACTTCCCATCTGTTCTGTAATATCTTTATCAGCCCCTGCATTTCCTTCCAACTATGTAGATAACATCAAACAGAAAGTAAACATAGCTTGTAGAGAATGCATTTACTTACCATGGTGCATAAACCCATTATCACAAAGAGCTACACCAAATATCATAGCTTCCTCCCTCGTCCGGCAATCTCCCTGTTAAACCATAGCGTATTTGTTAAAATATATTTTAATATAGCAACAAAATGGAATCTGTGCACAATGGCACAACCTCACAGGGATGGCAATGGCTGCAGATTATATCTACCCCCACCACCTTTACATATACATTTTGAGCCTACATATATAAAATAGTATATGCATGTTTACCATAGAATCAGAGAACACTTTGGGTTGGAAGGGACCTTCATGTGCTGTAATGCCTTACAGTTACAAATAAATAGATAAACATTTTAATAATACTGCATTCTCCATAAAAATTGAACATCATGGAATCTAAGTGTCCAAGTTTTTAACTTTTATTTTTCAAAACTAGTGCATGTTGACTGAGTGAACAGGATACCCTGCTCTTGTTTGTAGTTCATTTAAAATAAAATAGAATTGATGACAGCAAATTGGTACAGACTTTTGTCCATCCAGTTAGTAATTTAGAGAGTTTTTCAGAGTCTATTCATTCTACTTGAAGCCATGAACAGTGTTACAAAGCTAAGTGTAATTAAAACACTTAAAGTTCAATTGTAAATAAGGAAGATAAGCAGAAAAGGGATGATCAGCATGGCTACCAATGGCTGATTTCTGTTACGATACTAGTTTAAGAGGATTACACTTACACACACTGTTCTAATAACTCTTACACAAAGCATTTGCATGTTATTCTGCTTGATACAGCACTATCTTTCAAATTAGAATTTAAATGCAAAACATGCATAAATCCAAAGGTGTATACTTGCCTGTGCAATCAACCAATCTATGAATTTGTTAGCCATAACCACAGATTTGTAGGTTCTCAAATGATAATCTTTATCCCTGTATAAAACAATACAAAACAATTTAAAAAAAATAAAACAAAACCTCAAAAGAAACATAAAAATACTTCTATTTTATAAACAGTGCAAGGATGAATTGAGCATTTTACGATGGTTCAGAAGTTTCCTCTGGAGAATACAAGCTTTCAGTGTGGATAGAAGGAGGAGGCTGATCACATCCTACTTGGGTGATAATGTCACTGGAGTATAACAGCAGTTCTGTTGTTACACTTGATATTCCCCAAATAAGGTAATGGGGTGTTAGTAAAGAACTGTAAAGTAAAGAAGCATACTAATATATGCTGTGTGCATATAAGCATATCCATCAGGACCTAGAAAGTTCTAGAAGTCTGTTAAAAGAGACATATTTAACAGAAATGACAGGCATTTAATGATTCAGTTATACTTTTTGTCTTGATAGCCCTTCAATCTTACTTGAGTACTCCCAAAAGACTAATCTTGAAAGGATGGGTTAGGTTCCTACATTCAAACACAGTCTCTTCAGATTATACACTTCTTCCAAATGACTCTCTAAGGATTTCCTAATTGGACTCACCTAATTACTGGGGTAAACAGACTGTGAAGGCGACAGTACAGTCGTACACCCTGTTAAAGAGAAAGAGGAGGTGAGTTGACCACACATTCACATCACAGAGAACATAAGAGGCATGGACACAGTAAGGAAGCCTACATGTTGTAAATGCACTTCATTTACATAATAAAAAGTCTTCTAATTTCTATGTAATTTCATGTGCCAAAACGTAATGTTTCCAGATAAAAATGTTGACTAATAAATTAGGAGAAAGAAAATATTTCCAGTCTAAGCTTCACTGAGACACATGTGAAAAGCGTTAGCTTTAAGGTAGCATTAAAAAAACTAAAAGGTTTGAAATACTTTGAATGAAATGTACGTCAAAAAATAAAGCAATGTTTCCATGCATTAAGGTTGTCCCAAAAACTAGTTGCTATTCTACACACCGGGTAATTAAAGCTTAAAACACTGCATTTCAATATATGCATTGATACTTTACTTACAAATTGAAATTAAAATTAATCAATCAAAAAATGTAAAAAAAGTTTCAGACATCAGAAATGTTTTCAATTAAAACCAGAAAATTATACACATGGAGTAGTTTAAGGAACTACCATCAGAAAACTGACATAGAAAAGGAAATCACATTAGTATTACTTAATGAGCTATCAAAAACAATTATGTTTACAACATACAAGAACAAAAATGTTTAACAATTAAAAGTTGTGTCAAACTGGATTCCATCCTACTTTGCTCTACCTGGTAGTTCAGTACTGAAGATTCCTCTAGAGGTACCAGCAAAAAAAACAATGGCACAGTAACATAATACCCAAATTCAGAAATTTTCTACCACCTCAAAATCATGAAAAACTTGAATATTAATGAGTTTAAAGGCAACTTTGATCAATCTTTTCATTATGCTCAGTAGCACAGATGGATAGCACTACCTACCTGTGTTTAAACATCTGTGTGACTATAGATTTACTGCCCTGTTAGGGAACTAATAAAAAACACTCAAATTTAAGATAAATTTATAACCAGCTTTCTACATATAGTTTCATCTCTATAAAAATGGACTGAAAAATACAATAGACTAAAATGTCAGCTTCAGAATCACCCAGAAATGCAGGAAATGCATCCTGCATATGAAAACATTAAATAACTATACCTAAATAACAGTAAACTTTCATTTTGTATTTAAAATGTGTAACAAGCCAAAACCTTACAAATGGAAAAGTGAATTTGATTCATATAAATATAGAGAGGCAACTCTGAGGGGATATTGTTTATCCTAGCAAAATATTTTACATTATTTTTCAAGCAGAACCTCAATTTCTGATATGTTCTTCCTAATCACAGTAACTATTCTATTCTGTACCTTTGAGATCACATCCTGCATCTCATTTCTGGGGTAGTATGTTCCATCATCATATCGGAATCTGTACAGCATATGTTCAGGTTTGAATTGGTGTTTATCTGTAACTAAATTTAAAAAAAATGTATTATTAGGTGGCTTTCTGAAGAAATCAACAAGAGAGAAGGTGCTCAGCATAATTTCTTCTGATAATAGCCCAGCAGACATCAATAGGTAGATTTCAGACAGGAAGTGCAGGAAGCCTGGTTAGATCATCTGCACTAAGTTCCTTTAGGTCACTGGTGACAATATTTCTTATAACTTCTAAGTAGTACAGAAGAGACCAAACAATTTCAAGTCACAGGGCAAAGAATAAGAAAGACAAAGAGGCAGGGAACAGCCTGAAAAACCAGGTACTCAAATCATTCTACTCTTCAGCGCTTTGACAAAACTTATCAACCAAATAGCCAAATAAAGCTTCTTTTGCAACTATTCATATTATTGTTCCACATTATTCTCAGTCCTTATTCTTGATGAGGCCAATCTCAGATGACAGAGATGATTCTACAGATCCTACATAACACATTTAACCAGTCTTACACTGGGGAAAATAGGGAGAGGGAATGTCTTCCCCTACATATAGCCAGCCAAAGGTTGTAAGTGTGAGAGACCAGCAATTATCATGAAGATGCTGATAATCCCAGAAGACCCATGAAAAGGGATCTTAACAGGTAGATTTCCAGAGTTTCACAAGATTCCAGCAACAAATCTCAACTTCAAGTGCTTTGTCAAAACAGTCAGATACTAGGATACAAAGCTTCCCCTGGAAAGACCAATACTGCAAGTCTTAAAAACAGTTGATTCATTTGACGACTGAGGATAACATTAGGCACTAGCACCATCCTAGGATAACTATTTTCTTAATTAATGTTTTGCTTGCAGTAGTAAGCTTTAATTTTGAAACTAAATTTACATGTCATCCACTGATAAAGGAGGGTACTGTAATGTCTTCATTAATTGGAGTAACAGACCTGACAGTGTTAGGTAATTCTGTGCATGCCTTCCAATACCAAGTGATTAAGCCATCGTACATTATTCTCTTCCAAAAATTTAGTTAGGCATCATAAACTTTGTACAGTAAGACGCCTTCTGTCTGTATCATTTTTCATGCCCCTTCAAGCTCTTCAGTAATTCTACACATCATCTGATACACAGACATAAAATCAGGACTTCATATATTAAGTAGTTTCACCAGTGTCATGTGCAAGAGCAAAATAACTTCTCTACCTGCATTTGATATATCTTCTAATAGTAAAGCCCAGGACACTATTGCAATTCCCTTGAACTGATTGCTCACAATAAAGCGATTATCCAAAATAACCTCTAAGCTCTTTTACGTATCATTGCTTCTAAATACATCAGATATAGACTACAAAATTTTCACATATAATGCCTAATGTAAGTATCTAAGTGAATTTTAATGGACTGCGATCATTTTAGTTAGGGAAAAAAGATATCTTCTAGTTCTGTAATTAAAAATAAAAATTCCTACTGTTAAGGAAAAAAAACATTCCACTACATTAACGTACATTAAGAGTTTTTCTAACCAGCACCTACACAAAATAGAAAAAAATCACCACTAAGACAGTTTGGCCTAAGGCCAAATCGTCCCTCACTGTTACTGGGATGCACTGGGAGGGAACCAGAATGACAAAATACCTTTCATTTCTTGCATGCCCATGACAAACAGAGCAGGCTATGCACTCTGAGGAAAACAAGTACCACTCTGTCTTTGCAGTCCTGACTTCCACACAGTGCACCAGAAATTAAATAAGTAGCTCCACAGAGCTGGCACATCCTGCTTTTCAAACAACTTAAGGCTGATAAAAAGCTGCATGAACACTCAGCTAAGAAAGGCCAAGTTGTTTTGCGTGTCACTCCCAACACTGTACCTACCTTTATGCTGGGATAGATATTTCTATGGCACACATTAGGAAAAAGGAAGTGATCCAAGTTTAAACCGGTCATTTCTTTTACTTTTTTTTTTTGCCAGTGTAATGTAAAATCAGACCAGTACACCAGTCCAAGAAACTTCACAGCCACATAAATATTTATTAATTTTTAAACTATCTGATACTCCATTTATTTTTGTTAATACAAAGCTCTACTCCCTTGAGATGAAGTTTCCATCTCTAATCATCTGCAGCAAGTATCTCAGCTCATTGACTGATATAAGCCATTTCAGACATCAGAGAATTCTACCAAGCAGATTTAAATTAGCAGCACACAACCAGGTTTTCCCCCTTTTATAAATCTGGAGGGGAATAAAAAGAAGGAAAAAAACATAACTTTTCTACTTGAGAGAATTCACACACCAGGAAGTAAAACAATGCCCATCACAACACGGTTCTGTCATTGCTAGAATGAAGCCCAGCACAGTGACAATAATGGCCAGCCTAGTGAATATGCAAACTCTAACAAAGGCCTCTACAATATTTGCAATGTAAATAACAGCCAAATTTTCTTTCTCCCTTGCTTCCTCTGTGAAAACAGATGGTTCATTCAACTTTATTTTAGGAATGCTATTTTCAGTGAACCACAGCTGGATCCACTATTCAAAGTAGCATGTCTGGCTCACATTTCTATGCTCTAATATAATTACCCTTTTATCTCATGAAGTTACACAATATTCATTTAACTCTGTATTGAGAAAGTCTATGAGTGTATTTAGGATATAAATTACAAGATCAGGAGAAGAATCTCTGGCAATAGAATCATTCAATTGAAAACAATTCTCTGTGTGTAGTAAACACAATAGCATCTGACATTTGAATGATGGTGAAGGAAAATCATGTAGACTGACATTAAAGAATTAAGGACTACATGACTAGTGATGAACAACCTTAATGTTTTCCCTCCTACTCTGCATGTGTTTAAAACACACACTTTCTTTCCAGTCAAGGATACTAAAAAACATCATTGCAAAGAATTTCACTAAGTATTAAATTAATTGCTTGGTGGAGTATTAAAGTATTAAAATTTGTTATCAATCTACATTTAAGCACTGGATCTATATGGAACACTAGCTAACTTGACAGCTGTTTCACCAATTAGTGACTGTACCTATTGCATGCCAAATATGCCTTCAAAATCAGAAGTTTCTCCAGTTCACTTATATGGTCCTGTTAGACTGTACCTTGCGATAGGGACAGAGATGAGGACCTCCTCTGATAAGAGAAAAATACTGCCAATGCAAATTGCCTGCAGAAATCAATCTTATTGGCTCAAAAAATGGACCATTTCAGTGATACTTCTCTCCACAATGAACTAAACAGAGAGTTGACTGAAAGTTTCAGCATAAAAATATCAATTTTAATAACTATACAATGTAGTGAAAAGCAGGCCTTAAAATTCAAATGATTAAACTGCTGGGTTCTAGGCTGGATCCCATCAGCTCCACTTGTAATACCTAACAGATGAGCAGGCACATTCATCAACATCCAACTGTGACTCACTCTCTTGAATAATTCTTAGTTGAACATGTATCCCTAAAATGCCTGGCCTTAATAAAGGTTAAAATCCTTAAAAGCAGTGTACCGTTCTGTTTTTCCCCCAGAACTTATTTTTGCTTACAAGAGAACAGCAATGTTTCTCTAGGTCCCTGTTTCCAATGTTGTGATACCAACAGCAGAGATGTAATCTGATTAAACCAATGGAGCCTTTCCCAGTGAATCTGTGGCGCATGGACAGTGGCTCCATGAGGTCCCTGCAAGGGTATAATGCAGATTCAACAAGCTATCTTGAGTTACCAAGGCCATCTTTTTGTCAAACTAAATCAAGTCCACTCTCATTACAAACATTATCTGGAAAACAAGTAAGTTAAAACTAACTATATTTACCATGATGGATAATGCCATTCTCTAATAAAGCTTGGCCAAGATTAACACCTTCTTCAGATTTGTGTATCTCTCCAATTTCTAACAGCCAGGACACAAATTCACTGAAATAAAAACAGATACAGAAAACAAACTTTACATGACATACCACCAGATCACCTGCATTTCCCTCTCCATTACTAGGAGAGGGAATTCCAGTGATTAGTCTATAAGTGATTCTTAAGACTAATGATCTTCAAAATGTCGTATCACCTTTAGAAAACCCATTCATTTCAACTTTTCTATTAATCCTGGTTTCAATTCTCAGCAACTATGTTACTTCTGACAGCACGTAAGAATCTCTCAAGTTTCATTCCCACTTTTGAACTGAGCAGGAAGTATATTCTCTACATCTTTGTGTAAAGCAGCCACTGTACTTTGCAAAAATGCTTTCCATACTTAACAGTCTCATGGTCAAATGAGGTAAGTGATAACCACCTCTGCCATAAACTAATTTTTTTGTCATATACACATTTTTACGATACCTATTTCTTTCCCTTTCATTCAGTCTCCTTAAGCAATAGGTATAATATGGCGTTATAAAGATTTGACTGAAAACAGGGGTAAAATTTTAAACATAAAAACTTTGTTCAGTGACTCTGTCCCTGACATTCAAGCAAGAGGATGAACTGTTTAAGAGACAGAAATTTTTTAAGTGGAGTAAAGCAAATTTACACTCCAAACTAGTCATTACAGAGACAAAAATGTATTAAACAAGCTGGGAATTATTTCTTTAAACAAACTATATCATTTGATGCATTTCCACATTTTCATCATGCCTCTGCAGCCTTGTCTCTAACAAAACTACTTTGGAATACAAGTACACATTTATAAATTTCAGGCAGACCAATCTACATTTTGGCTAAATTCTGTGAGGCAAATAGGCTTAAACAGACATTACAAATGAACAGTGGTTTCCTCAGAATCCCAAAGAAGATTTAAAATATGTTTTTATATAGTAAAAATTCATGCTATCAAATGCATATAATACCTTCCAAGAAAGCATTTGGGGAAAGTTGTCAATTTCCTCTTCCTGTCTTTGATGAGATTCCCTTGTTTGCACATCATTTTGTACAGTCTTTCTCCTTGCTCTGAAATCATCACCCAAGTGTCCTGTTCCATGCCCAATTTTAAACCTGCCAAAAATGCATTAAAATTTTATGAAATTATATTGCCATTATATTTCAGTATCTTCCCTGAAACTGAGAAGCAATGCCAATATTCTACATACAAAGAAAAAGTAAAGGAACTGTTTTCCATTATTTTTCTCACAATCAAGTTAAACCATGAACATCTGATCTTCATAAAGCACAACCAAAAGATATTTCTAAGTTTCTCATAGTGCAATTAAACTGTCAATCTAGTGACATCACCACTGATTTTGTAGTAATAAATACTAGTGCTGTGATTTTCAGCTTTCAGTACATTTGCAAGGGAGCAGACATGTCTTCACAAGTCTAAAATAAAAGAGCTTTGGTTTTGCTCTTACCATGTGATGATAATATTGTCTTCACTTAAAGGAAAATTTTTCAAATTTCTAGTTAATTGTAACGAGTTATCTGTTATGCATATGTTAATTTCACACAAGATTAATTCACCCCTTTTCCACAAAAGCACATACACGACTTTTTTATTTGCTTCAAGATTTTTTCAACAATGGAAAGCTATCAAGGAGTTCATTTCAATGTATCTTACTGGTTTCTTTTTTCCTGTGTATTTTCTTGAGAAAACCATTATGTTTTCTGAGTTACAGATGATCAAACCCAGTTTTTCTTGAATTATGCAACCTATGGCCATTCACAGAAGCTTGTGTTTCTAAGGAATACCACAGACTTTCATATCCCATGTGCTTTCTCAGTAAACAGTTATTAATTCCAGACAGAACCACATATTTCTTCAATGTCCTGTGTACATGTTCTCCATTTCTGTTCAGATTTTCATAACTTTTAAACTATAACAGTACAAGAGACACGTGGTGTCCCTCAGTGCTCTGTCTTGGGACTGGTGCTCTTTAGTATCTTCATCAATGATATAGTGAGATTGAGTGCACCCTCAGCAAGTTTGCAGATGACACAAAGCTGAGTTCTGCAGTTAACACAATAGAAGGACAGGATGCCATCCAGAGGGACCTTGACACACTTGAGAATTGGACCCACAAGAACTTCATACAGTTCAACAAGAGCAGGGTGCCGCACCTGGGTCAGAGAAATCCCAGACACGATTACAGACTGGGAGAAGTCATTGAGAGCAGTCCTATGGAGGAAGACTTGGGGGTTCCCATGGTGAAAAACTGGATATGAGCTGGCAACATCCTATGCTGCATGAAAAGAGGAGTGGCCAGCAGGTCAAGGGAGGTGATTCTGCCCTTCTAGTCTGCTCTCATGAGACCCCACCTGGAGTACTGCATCCAGCTCTGGGGTCCTCAAGACAAGGACATGAACCTGTTAAAGCAGGCCTTAAGTACTGGCCACAAAAAAAATGATCAGAGGGATGGAGAACCTCTTCTGTAAAGACAGGTTGAGAGTACTGGGGTAGTTGGAGAAGAGAAGGTTTCAGGAATACTTTTTTGTTGCCTTCCAGTCTTTAAAGAGGCAATAGCGATAGGACAAGAGGGAACAGTTTAAAAAAATAAGAAGAGATTTTGATTAGATGTTAGGAAGAAATTCTTTACTCATAGGGTAGAAAGGTGCTGGAACAGGTTGCCCAGAGAACCTGTTGATGTGTCATCCCTAGAAGTGTTCAAGGCTAGATGGGGCAGGGCCCTGAGCAACCTGGTCTAGTGGTAGGTGTCCCTGCCCACGGCAGGGGGGTTGGAACTAGATGATCTTTAAGGCCCCTTCAAGCCAAGCCATTCTGTGATATTCAATCCGAGTAACAGCCTGCTACTACTTTAATTCTGGAAATACAGCCCCCAAAAAAATGTGTCTGTCATGAGAAAAAGCTAGCAGTGCTACCAGACACAGATTCACAAGTGTCTTTCATTACCCAGGAAACAGATAGTGGTACCCCAAGTAAAACTTAATGTACATCTGGGTAAAGAAAATTTAACCAATATACTACTTCTGGAACTTATAGGATGTTGATGCTTTTATTCGTATTGACTGTTTGAATCAGGTCATCACAGCATTATGAGTCTTAAAGATGGTAACCTTTTAAATAAATTTCTAACTTACGGAATGCCTCAGGTGCTTGCAGAAAAACTGACAAATTGACAAAAAAAGACTTGCAAAAAGTTTCCAATTCAGCTTGATTTCTCCTAGCAAGAAAATACAATATATAAAGTGGTCCTAGTTTATAATTCAATTACAACAGCTGAAAACTGGTTTATTACTTCATTCAGGGCATTCTCTGCTTTTCACTCAGATTCTGCTACATGGATTCCAAATACAAGTACAGGTTGAGTTCCTCTAAGTCCATTGAATCTCTGAGACTTACAACTCAATTTGTTTTTGAAGATTCTGTGTGGCAATCCGAATGTTCGCATGCTCCAAATCCCCTCCCTTCTTTCATGGTTTTCTTCTTGGTGGCAAACCCACATCAGGAGCTGAATAGGATGCTAAAATCTTAAAATATGCCTTGACTTTGAGATGGCTCCCTCAGACCCAAGGCTTAGCTCAAACTCATCTCTACTACCAGTTGCTCAATTGATTGGTGTAAAATAGTAGGAATTCATCAATATAAAATACTCCTACTTACTATTTCTATTGCTTACCTAAAGTACCAAGACCCTAAGGGAGTCAAGAAATTTAACTTTTTGGCCAGCTGCAGAAAAGATCCTATAGAGAAGCACACAAACCTGGGTTTTGTTGTGTTTGACATAACCTCTACCACATTACTTTTGCATTTTTTTTTAAAATGATGAGGTTTTAGACCTCTAAAGCATCTTTTTAGCTTTTCTGCTATTATTTCCTGATGACACTATTAATTAGCCAGTGCTCAGATACCCTAGTTGAAACTATGGTCCTACAACAGATGATACATGTTCTACAAATATCCAGTATTCAACTTTAAAAGACCAAGGAAAATAGTTAGTCTCCATTTACAATTGTTAATGCAACAGGTGATGGAAAATCTATGCAGATCAGGAAAAGAATCACAGCTTTAAATACAAGGTCATATATTCCTTCAATATCAAGGCTCCAAGCCATGTTACTAATTAGGATATTTTTGCTTGCAAATTAAATTAGCTCCAGAAAAGGATGATGTGTCATCTTTCCCTGGTTCTACTTTATGCTGGGTTCACCTTTAATACATGAAGTCATTTGTGGTCACATTTGAGATCAGAATCATACTTCATCCAAGTATTTTTTCCCTTACTGCAGTTATTCAAAAAGGCAGTGGTTTGCCAATGGTGATTTCTTACTTTCTTGTGTAGGAGAGAATACATCAAAGATGGGGTTGTGCATACGTTCTGCACCATTTCATGTTGGATCACCTACATTAAAATCCAACACAGAAATGCTGCTTATTTCAATGATGCAAACAGCCAGTCACAAAGGGATTCAATGCATGCAAATTCCACAAGGCATTTAGGATAGACCCTCAGACACTCACTAACCATAACAGTACCCAGGCATCAATGAATTTATGACAACTTATACTGGTTGAGGATAAGACGTAAAATCACAGATTAAATCATCTCCCCATTTCCAAAACAGCACTCACTACCAGCATTCATGATGGTATTATGGACATTATGCCCTTCCCAGTACAAGTTTGATTTATTTTGTCCAAGCTGGTATTCATAAATCTTCAGCTGAACCTGACACCACAAGTTTGCCTACCAGCTGGTTTTGCTTTATATCTCAACATAAAAATACAGTACGGCTTTTTGGCAAAGTAACACAAGGAAGTTTATTAACCTACCTTTTCTTCTCTCTCGCTCTTTCAAAATAGCTTCCAGCCATTCTTGCTTCTCTTCAGGGGTTTTTGCCATGCATACAAACCATTTATTCTTTGCCGTATTGTGGATCTTCCAGCCATTAATAACAGTGTGTCCACTGCTGTGGTAGTCAGCTGGGAATACATAAAATGGCTTAAAGAGCACCAGTTCTTTTAAAAAAAGCAACAGTTGTTACAATCATAAGGAACTCTTATTATTACACATAAAATGCAGGAAATACGGAAGAGTAAAAATTAAAAGTTATCTGTGCCACTTGTGAACCATGTTATAACTTAATAAACTGTAGTTTTAACTTTTAGTAAATCACATCCTTTGGAAAATGTAACAGAGAATTGCCAAGCATATGGAGGAAGGTATAAGCTCAACACTAAAACAGGCAGAATCCTATTAAAAAGAACAGATAATGGTACTTGGAGTAATTTGTGTTTAACTCTAATAAATAATTCTTTAAACAAGTAGCACTGTGGTTTTGCCCCTTAGGTTGCCCAGAGCTGCTGTGCTGATTGAATGATTTACTACTAAGTTTTAAAAAGGACTAAATATACAGAGGGATAAAATCGAATTTCAATTTGACAAGTAATCAAACCACACATATTTGAAGTGTCTTTACTTGTTACCCAAATAGATAAATATCTACACTTACTAGTTTAAACAAACTTAAATATACTACAAGATGCAGTTAGGTAAAAAAAATTAAAAGAAAAAAATTAATCAAATGCATGATTTTTGAAATAAGTTCCTAACAACCCAATGTTCAGTGGACACATTATAGGAGAGGTAACAGTTGCTGATGTTCTGAGATATCTTGAACTTCTGACTCTTAACAAGTCAAAATAACTATGCTCAAAAAAAAAAAAAAAAAAAAAAAAAAAAATCAGACAATTTACTACTTACCACTCTTTACTTCTGCAACATTTGATTTTAACATGCTAGTCCATAAATCTTATTCAGAAATTCCAAAACTAACACCCTTAAATATCCCTCGCTAGGATTTCACACATTTCTTGGGGGAAAATTTGTGAGGCAGAAATGCCTTATGACATGTTTTTGGGTTGTTTTTTTTTTTTTTCATAAAATAAAGAGTAAAAAACTAGAACTGGCAACTACCATACAAAATATTAAGAAAAATCAAAGGTCAACATTTTCTCACCACAAACTTTCATTAACAGGCAAAAAAGTCCTAGGGCCAGCCCTGAATCACTGTAATAACTACAGAGCTTTTAGCGTTGTAAATCGTTTTCCATAATTCAGCCCTATTTTGTGTGATGTGATGTGATTTTCTAAAACTGAAACTCTTGCTGAAATGCTTGCTAAGTTTTATCATAAATCTCAGCAGACGTGCTAGTATCCTTTCAATAACTTTGCATTTTAATTAGATGGAAAGCAGCCAAGCTTTGTGTACTGGGTTGGGAAATGTCAGGAACTACTAGAAAATCATGAGACTGATGGCTAATTTCTAAACCAACAAAACTTTCTAGTACTCAAAGCATGAAAGAAAGCACAAGCAAGTCTATGACAGGGAAAAAAAAATGAAGCTATTTTTGCAACATCATGTTTATACCACTTACCTACGTATATTTTTATTACTACAATCCTCCAAGGCTCCCATGAGCAGTTTGTTCTCCCCAATACACCCATGTCCATAGCGAAGAGCATTTCAGCATTACTCTATCATCCCACATAAACTCCTACCTTCTCTGGACTGGCAACTGGACGAAATCTGGTCAAGAGCTGCAGACATGCTGGCTGGCCAGCCAGAAGGTGTGCGCGTTCCGACTGGCCAGCCACACAGCACATATGCACACTCTTCAAATCAAGGCAATCCCAGCTGCCAGTCAGGCTAAACAAATAATTTGCAAACCTGACATAATAGTTACAGAGGGAAAAAGAGCATGAGACTTCAGTTGCTCCATGCAAAGTTTGATCAAGCATGATTAACAAATCATTAATCCTACAACTTCCCAAAAATAGGTGATGAAAGATGACATCATCTTTTAATGTTACTTGGTAATACATAAAAGTTTGTAATTTGAACTATCATATATTATGCAAAATTCAAGACTCAAACCTCTGAGTGATGCATAAGCAATTTGTTACAGTCATATACAAGAGAACTTTCTTCTCCCCTTAAAAATTAAACAGAAATTTGTGTTGAAGTACTCCTAAGTTTCTCAGACTTGAGGTTCTTAGGAGCATCAAAGGTCAGAAATACCAAGGAAATAATTGCTGCACAGTATCAACTGCCTTCTTTCTATGTATACTTTTTGCTTCAGTTTCTGGTTACTATTATCATTTTGTGGCTTTTCTGGTTACTATTATCATTTTGTGGCTTTTCTGTATCATGCCTAATTTCAAGATAGAACTGTGATTCTATATACAACCATAAATCTGGTATTTCCTAAGCCTCAAGTGCTTTTCTTCATAAACTATATAACATTCATTTAATGGCTGGTGAATGCCTTTAGAAAGATAATTTTTTCTCACAACTGAATATTATAAACAGATACAGAAAAAGAATACCATCACCACATATCCACCTTTCTAACGCTTGCCAGTGGTAGTGTCGCCGCACTGTTTTAAGATTAAAAAAAGTCTGCTCTGATAAGTAATATGCATTCCACTTTAATCAGTGCAATCAAGAAAAAGTAGACTGCTTCATGGTGCTGAAACAAAAAAAGAAAGCTTAAACCAACTGTACTGCTCAGCCAAGGCCTAATTTCATCAAAGAAAAATTGCTTTTCAGAAAAAGCTTTGTTAATTTCTGTAGGCATGTCATTAGCATGACAATAAACCACACTGGGGATCTGTTTTCCTATTTCTATGCTTCTGCTTACAAACAACAAAGACTACATTCCTACATCTATCAATGCTGAGAGCAAACACTCTCAGTTGCCCTGTTCCCTGGAGCCCTATGGTTTCTTATACCTAATGAGAAGGGGATCACAAAACCTACATTATAGAACAGTGGAAGTAGTCTCAATAATCTTTAATGTCTATAAAGAGACCCACAGAGAAAGAGTCCTGAACAGATAGGAAAATATAAGCACTCTACACTCAGAGCTTCTACTCTAAATTCAGAATTATAGTGATAGGCAATAGATGATTAAGAAGAATAAAATAATACAATACCAAAAAAGAGCATGCAAAGCTAATGCGAATGAGGCTTGGACAACCATATTACTGCACTTGGGAATGCAATGAGACAAAAAGGAAGCAGCAGAATAGTACTGAGTTACAGTTCAAATGTGGATGACTACAGGGGATGAGAAACAAGACATCTGGTTGCAACAAATGAGAACAGTAAGGAAAGCAGAACAGAGGAAGGTTAAAGAAGGGCATCATGATCTGAGTGAAAGAAAAAATAGCAGGGTGAGGAGAGGCAATCCACAAGGAAGGAAATCATCAGTGGGGGTTAAATAAAAAGGAGGGGGGGTGACAAAAAAATGTCAGAAAGGTGTCACAGGGCAGGGAAAAAACCCAGACATTTCCATATTTCAAAGAGAACCATAGAAAGGAGTAATGAAATAGCAACAATTAAAAGAAAAAAATATTTTAGGATATTGGACAAACCAAAATTGAGAAAGTGGAAAATGTAGTGATAATAAAGAAAAAAGATGTAAGAATAATCATACGATCATAGAATGGTTTGGGTTGGAAGGGACCATAAAGATCACCTAGACCAAGTGCCCTGCAATAATCAGGGACATCTTCAGTTAGATCAGGTTGCTCAGAGCCCCATCCCACCTGACCTTGAACATTTCCAGGGATGGGGCATCCAGCACCTGTAATAAGCTAGAAATCAAAATAACCAAACCACTAACGAACATCTCAGAAGTGTGAAAAGGAGTATGGATTTTGGAAATAATGTATATATAAAAGTGACAAGATTTGATATGGCTCACGGGAGCCTGTGGGAAGGAAGCATAACAGCCTCCAGGACTTTGCGCAATGCTATAAGAAATAGGGACAGTACCAAAATTTCCTGTGGCTGAAGGAAATTAGGCCACTGGTGTCTGGAGTGTAGAGGAAGACCATTTGTGCTTAGCCAGATTATACTTGAAGATTAATTGAGAAAGAAACACAGGAAGGAAAATGAACAGTGTAAAGAGATCAAGGACTGGATAGATAGAAGTAAATGAAGAAAGGTAGAACATATTTGAGAAATACAGGGCAATCACAGAAAGAGGATTGAAAAAATATTTTCTAAAAACAACACTAAAATCATGACAATATGTGGGTTGGAATCAGTGAAAGAAGAACTGTTACACAATTCTTGGAATATCATCAGGAACAAGATGGTGGGTATAAGCCTCTGTGGCTACAGTATCATCAAGAGTTACGAGCAAAGAGGTGCTGTCTTAGAAAGTGACATAATGCAAACAGGGAAACTGCCTTTTATTTCTAAAGCATATATAAGGAAGATGAAAGAAAATAAATGAGAGTCAAATAATACATGACATGAAAGACTGAAACAAACAATTCTCTTTTTTTTGCACAAACAAAGCACTGAGATTTTATACTAAAAGCTAAAAACTGGAGAAGAATGCAGGCCAGCAAAGGGGAATAGCAGGATATAGAATATTGAATAATTATATGAAAGTCAATGAGGCTTGAAAAAATTCACTACATTGTACCCATAGACAGCTCTAAATCACTAACTAAATCGGTGGGCCTGGTGAAGGACAAAGACTGAAACAGATGTCAAGGAGTTCCTACACAAAATGTCTGGTAAGCAAAGACAATGAATCAAGTGTGACACCATAGTGCTCTACCTTATGTTCAGCAGTTTCCACTACTTTTATCAAGAGCTTAAATGGTTCAGTAATAACACTGTTTGTTCACAGAATCAAGTGAAGAAGCACTGCAAAAGCCTTGTGGAACAAGATGCAAATTCTGAATGCTTAATAAATTGTAGAAATAGCAAGATAAAATTTCAGGACAGAAAAGCAAGTATTTATTAGGAACTACTCTCAGACATCAACACAGTATAAAATATAATGGGATAGGCACCAGTACTGCACAAAAGGATCTTCAGTAGTATTCTGGAACACAAACTAAAAAATTGAAAAATAATGCTCTCAGAAAAGACACAATCCTGGGATTAGCAGTAGACATCCCACATTACAGCACTACAGTAACTGTTCTGTCCTACTTGGCACCAGCAAAGTTTCAGCTCTAGACACTTCAGTTAAGGATTCTAAGCAATGTAATTTCTTTATAAAATTGAGGATTAATGACAAAAGATGGAAGCATACTGAATGAAAAACAAACTCCAAAGGACAAAAAAAGTAATAAAATCATAAATAACAAAATAAGAACACCACCCATGACAAAAGATTGAAAGACTCAAAAATAAGAGATGGCAGAGAGACACAACAGTCTTCCAATAAACTAATTTGTTGCAATAAGAACAATAGTGAATTTGTTCTCCAAGTCAGTTCTACTGTCTACCCAGCAGAACAAGAAGTGAGCAAACTATTACGAAAACAAGGAACTTGGGATTAGAAAAAAAGTACATCTAAAATTCAATTTCTATGAAGGAGTTCTATGAAGCTTACTTAAGCCATACAATCCTTGCATTAATGCTCATTTTTAGATAGAAATTGCATTAATAAATAGTTGTAACCCATAGTAGAGGTAGGACAAACCTAAGACTATTTTAAAATACCAGGAGAAATAATACATAACTCCTAGAAATCTCCTCCAGACTTACATATTTGCAATGCCACTGCAAGTTTCACATTTTTTTTCCTTTGTTTCATATTAAAAAGCCAAAGATGTTTCAGGCCTTCTTTATTAATTATAAAGGAAAATTAATAATTGCTAAGCTCGATTGTTAAACTCAAGTTTCTAAAACAAAAAAATGACATGTTTAGGAACTCTTTGGTTTTTCACTTTATTAATATATGTCAGGAAAATTTCAAGCAATCATATATGCCTAAATATATATTAAAAACCCTTCCTTATGTTACAATTTCAGCATTTATAGTGTTTGAGGTTTCATTCCAACAGAGGTAAGTTTTCCGTTTGCTTTGAGAAGTTCTTTAAGAGTGCTGGAATGTTGTAAAGTGAAGCTAAATATGTGATTTCAGTTGAGCAATAGATGTCACCTTATTTTATCTGTCACCTTCTTATCTGTTCATAGCATAAAATAGGCATCTATGACCACCCCAATAATTATGGATGAAAATAATGATGTGTCACAGAAGGAGAGTTTTGATAAGAACAGATAGTGCTTTTAAAATGGCATCTTACTCTTTCTAAAAAATATAAGGAGCACCCTCCAGTCTTAAAGAAATCATAAAGCTGCATTTGATTTCAGCACCTCAAAAGACTTCTCTGTAAATGAGCAACACAAATATACTCACCTGTTCCATCATCTACATTCTCTACTTCCATCACTTCTGTGTTTATTCTGCCTCGAAAAAGGTAACGGTGGCCATCTGTAGATGCTTTGCTGTTCTTCAGTCGCCTGATAGAAGAAAGAGTAGATGTGAGCATGTCATCCACCACCTTCTTCACAGAATCACAGAATCAGTTAGGACCACAGTGGGTCATCTGGTCCAACCTCCCTACTTGAGCAGTGCTATCCTAGAGCACATGTCTCAGGATTGCATCCAGATGGTTCTTGAATATCTCCAGTGAGGAAGCATCCACAACCTCTCTGGGCAATCTGTTCTAGGGCTCAGTGAATCACACAGTAAAGAAATTCTTCCTCATATTCAGGTGCAACTTCCTGTGCATCAGTTTTTGACTGTTACCTCTTGTTTTATCGGTTTCCACAACTGAGCAGAGTCTGGCTCCATCATCTTGGCACTTCCCATTCATGTACTTGAATACATTAATGAGGTCTCCTCTCCGTTGTCTATTCTCAAGACTGAACAGGTCTAAATCCCTCAGCCTCTCCTCCTAATTGAGGTGTTTCAGACCCTTAATCATCTTTGTTTACTTCTGCTAGATCCACTCCAGGAGCTCCATACCCTCTTTTACTGAGAAGCCCAGAATTGGACACAATACTCCAGGTGTGGCCTCACGAGGGCTGAGTAGAGAGGCAGGATCACCTCCCTTGAACTGTTTGCAATACTCTTCTTATTGCATCCCAGGACTCCGTTGGCCTTCTTAGCCACAAAGGCACAATGTTGACTCATGCACAACTTGTTTTTCACCAGGACCCCCAGGTCCTTCTCTGCAGAGCTGCTCTCCAGCAGGTCAGTGCCCAACCTCTACTGGTGCTTGGGGTTATTCCTCCCCAGGTGCAGGACCCTGCACTTGCCCTTGTTGAATTTCAGTTGGTTCTGTCTGCCCATCTCTCCAACCTGCCAAGGTCCCTCTGAAGGGCAGCACAGCCCTCCGAGGTATCAACCACTCCTCCCAGTTTTGTATCATCAGCAAACCTGCTGAAAAGGCACTCTGTCCCCTCATCTAAGCCATTGATGAGTAAGTTGAACAAAACTGGGCCCAGTACAGAACCCTGAGGGACACCGCCAGTGACAGGCCTCCAGCTAGACTCTGTGCCATTGATCACAACTCTCTGGGATCTGCTGCTCAGCCAGTTCTCAATCCACTTTACTGTCCACTTGTCCAACCCACACATCTTAAGTTTTCTGATGAGGATGCTGTGGGACACACCCACAATAATACCACCCTTGCTATTCCACCCTTTTATCCTAACCCATAAGCTCTTAACTCGCTCACCACCCTCACCAAGGCAGAGCTCAATACATTCTAAGTGCTGTGCCACATTGAGGGCAACTCCACCATCATGCCTTCCTGGTCTATCTCTTCTAAACAGCGTGTAGCCCTTCATGACAACATTCCAGTCATGCAAGCTGTCCCACCACATCTCTGTAATTGCAATGAGATCAAGGGCCTGTGACTGTACAGAGATCTCTAGTTCCTATTTGATCCCCACACTTTGTGCATTGGCATACAGGCACCTACTGGAAGTATTTAGTGATGACAGTATCCCAGTGGGGGTGCAAGGGGGTGCCCTATAATTCTGTCTAACAGTTGCATCTTCAGCTGCTTAATTGAGGTATTCCCTCTTAATCCTTCTTTTTATACTAGGGTAGCTCTCTGAAGTACCCCTGCTGGCTTTTATTATTTCAGCACTCCGTGGCTGATCTCTGCAAGACTGTAGGTGTGCTCCATTATGGCTGGTGTATCTCAGAATTGCCTGCTGAGAGCTCTCACAAGTTCCCTGTCCCTCTAACTTACCCATACTTTCCCACAGTTGGCCAGGGACAAGCCTCATATTATGCCCCTCCTCATCATATCTAGTTTAAAGCTCTACCAATGAGTCTTGTTATTTCCTGGGCAGAAACTCTCCTTCCCTGATGAGAAAGGTGAGTCCTTTCTGGTGCTGCATAGGCTGTATCATTGTCAAGGAATCATAGATTCTGCCCATCTGTTCCTTTCAATACTACTATTCTCAACTGAAAGTATGGGGAAATAAAATCACCTGTGCACCAGATTCCCTTACTGAACGCCCCAAAGCCTTGAAATCTTTTCTGATTGTCCTCAGACTACATGTTCCTCACCCCTATATGGAAGATCAGTAACAGTAATAATCTGTGGGCTGCATCAAGCTTGGAAGTCTCCTGGTGATATCCTTAGTCCAGGCCCCAGGGAATCAGTAGACCACCCTATGGGTTGGGTGCAGTCAGCATATCAGGCCCTCTGTTCCCTTTAGATGGGAATCTCCTACAACTAAAACCCATCTTTTCTTCCTCTTGAAAGCAGCTGCGATATAGCAAGTTGGCCTTTTTGATTGTGGTGGTGTCTCTAGAGCAACTGGACCTTCATCTACTTCATTCTTAGGCTGTTTCTTCTACATGCAAAGCCTCATTCCTACTTTGGAGGAGGGCAGCGAGGGATTTCATTTGCTTCCCCAGGTATGGGCTACCCTCCATTCACTTTTTCCTTCACCACAGGTGAAGGAAATATATGATATCTGCCATCAAATACAAAATATTTTATTAGGAGGACCTTTCCTCCTAACTGTTATAGCCTCCTTATGCTAGTCAAGAAATTTAACACATGGGTAGTGCAACTGAAAAAAATGTAATAAGAACACCTCTGGATATAAATCTTGACCTATCACATTAGGCTTATAAACGAGATTAATGTGTGGAAGAATGAAGATGACATTTTTCCTTCCTAACATAAGTGTTAACCAAGAATTGCAATTAAGAATTGCTGAAATTTTGTGGCAGTTTCACTGCAATATATTACAAAGTACCTGGCATTGCTATAATTCTGTTCCCAGTGAAGTCAAGGCCTTTTGAGAGCCACAGTTCTAGACTCTCACCTCAGATAAGTCAGGTATGATTTTTCTGTCCATTTCTGTCTATAATGATAATTAATACTCTATATCAAATAAAGATCAGTTCCTAAGAATGAATGATCACCTGAATTATGACCTTCACTCATGCTAGAGAGGTACTAATCTTCAGAAAATTACCTGCCTTTCAATAATTACTTCATTACTGTCTAATGAGTAACTCTACTATACTGTAAATGTCTTATTCAAAAATTATATATTTAAAAAACCCAAACAAATCAAAAAAGCAAAACCAGCCACAAGATTAAAGGTTCAGCATCACATGTTTTTTGACTCCAAAGTGAGGTAACTCCAATAAGCCTAGTGACCTTTATAATTGCAAATTCAACAAATATAGCAATCTGGATTTATACAATTCCACTGCAAAAGGATGTTTAAAAATTACAGAACATATACCATAAAGATAGGACAACTTTGGTAAAATTACCAAAATACAAACCTCCTGTGAGCAACACTCTCTTTACCTACTTGCCATCAATACCTGAAGTATCTTGCTGGCTTATAATCAAGTCATTTCCCCCAGCTCTGAAGTTAAGTTCTAAACTGAGGTATTCTTACGTCTGCAGAGATGTCACCATGATATCAGCCAATGACATGTAGGGCATGATTGCTCAAAACTAAAGAAACCATAGATGACCTTTCAGCATTTTGACATTTTCATACATTTTAGCTGGAATATGGCTACAAAAATATGTAACTTAGTGGAGGACAAGTGAAAAGACACTATGTAATCGGTAATTTACTTTTAATTTCTGGACAACAAAATACAGAAAAAAATTAGACATTTTGAAAAGAGTATGTAACATATCCAGGAATCTGTCAAATATCTACCCAGTAATACGTATTCAGCAGTTATCCAAAACCAATTTCCAGATCAAAAAGACAATCCTGAGCATCAAGAAGTACATCTGTACGTAGGAGGACTCTCATTTCTCAGAAGCATCAGAGCACCAAACATTACCTGCAGGAGGCTGCTACTGAAGTAAGAAACTGCTCCTTGCAATGCAGCAAGCAGCAGCTTTCTGGCTGTTTTCCCTGATTACAAATATAAGGCTTGAGACTCTTGAATCTGTAGAGACATATTTTATTGCACAAGCTGCAACACTAGTATGTTTAATCTAAAAAGTCACTCTGTTTACCCTTTCTAGAAAAGGGTGAGGCCATCACATATGACCTGCTCTGGAAGGCTGAAAAAACAGATTCTTTCTCCCCACACTTACCATTAGGATTCTGCATTCATAAAATTTTTCTAATGCTTGAATTAAATAAACTTCTCCTTGGTTGATATGTCTCCTCTAAAAATGCTAACTTTTATACTGCAATTCTTAGGAGACAGCATATACATGATTAACTCTACTGTGAGAAAAACATTATTTTTCAAAGTAATCATTTACCTGTGCTTTTTTTTGCAGTAGACCAAAAGGTTATCAAAAAGAAAAAATATCCTCTCTTGGATATTTCCAGCTGAAATTTTCAGTAGTAGTCCACTTCGCAGCATTTCTGTGCACGTGTCTGTGATGTTGGACCCCTAAAATCGATTGAAAAGAGATTTTTATTCTTTTTATTCTGTGAGAACTGAAGTATTCTGCATCAACTAAAGGAAAGTTTCTTATACAAATTCATCCATAACGATTCTCTAGAAACACTAAGAGTAAAACTCATGGTAATTTATTGCATTGTAATTACATAGTAATTTCTAATGATGCTTAACACAGCTTTGTATTCATTCAGTATTGCCATTCACTGGGGTGAGAGGAAGGTGGCTTTTTTGAATAAATAAAGTTTAATCACTAGAAGTTTTCAAATTATATTACAGCTATGCATGAGACCTTTCCTGAAAAATCAGGCCAACTTCATCCAATAACTCTTACATCCAGTAACTTTAGTCAGAAATGTCTGAAAATGGGGCTTTACAAGACATAATATATGCCAAGATGAACTTGGAAGCTAAAGCAACCTGGAACTTGAACATGACTAAGAGTATATACTTCTACACTAAATTCAGTTTAACATAAAATCAAATTAAAAAATCCAGCAAGACATAAAACATGGGCAAAGCTACTAGTGGCACATACAACTAAGACTGGCTAGTATACTTTCTCCTAACATACTCTGAAGACTTCAGAATTTTGCTAAGCTTTAGATGTTTGGGATGAGATTTCCCATGCCTTATTTTTGCTTCAGGTCAGAAAATCTTTGCATGTGAAAAGAAGGCAGAAGATAGGCATTTTCATAGAAGTTACCAAAAAAGAAGCAACTTTAACAAAAGAAAATGTTTTCCCAAAAATATTTACATGAAAAATTCATAGTATTTCTACATCTTATAAAAAGAAATTTACCTCTCAAGAATGCTTACCCTTTAATTCAGAGGTGGATTTTGCTAGTCTGAAAATCCATGCTCCTATGGGACAGAGCTGCTGTTGGTGTGCTCTAAGTGCCCAGACATGCAATCCTATTGATAATTATGCATGCTGGCTGCATCAAGCATACACCCATAGTTTGAGGAGTTTCCTAACTTAAAGCAGTCAACAGTCAGCTTAGAAAACCTGCAAAAGCCAGGACTTCCCTGTCTTCTACAAGTCCTGAATGACTTATACCTGCAATAGCTGTAGTTACTTCCTCTTCTTGATCTAAGCACAGTAATCCAAATAAAAATTCATTCAATTAAGAGCCAAGAAGCAACCGCAGGTTCTGCTCTCAGCACTTCATCCTACTGTTCATCCTTTGTATGTCACAGCTGTGAGTATTGAGCAATAGCTCAGACTGTTCTAAGGAGAATGCAGTCTGTTTACAGAGATGATAAGTGGGATTGCACAACCATCTCACTGGAACACAGTTCAGGTCTCTAAATAAAGCAGCTTCAGCATCTGTATTAACTAACCAGTCCTGTTCCCATTTAGGATTAAATCAGCCAAAAATGAATGTCATCTACAGTCACTACAGCATATTTCCCTTCCTAAGACAGTATTAGTACCAAAAACTGGCATAGCAATTTTACAGTTATATTTGAAATCAAACATTGAAACATCTTAAAAACACCCTCAGTAATATAAATTAAGCATAAATTAGGGCTTACATAGTGCTTGCTGACCACAATTACAGAAAAGCAGGTCATTTCTTTCCATTCTATTTCATTGCTTGTATGTATTAAAAAGAGTAAACAATTTTAAAATTGCATATCAAACTAGCTGGAATAGTACTTACTAATAATTTGCATTTTTAAAAGCTGGATATTTTTTTAAAGGGTTTGGTTTGTTTTTACAGAAAACTTCAGCTTTGTTGAAAAATGGTGCTTTTTTTTTGTAGGGAAGCCAAAAATATTCAGCTTAAGGCTTCAGTATTGTACTAGCAGTTTCGGCTTTCTACAAAAGAGTGCATTTTTTCATAGAAAGTGTTTAATAAAAAACATTTTGAATTTTTTTTGAAAAATTTCATTTTCAGTGTAGAAAAACACAACCTCGTCCTGACAGTCCTAGCAAGATCTGCTACTGTGCCAGCATCATGTCACAAAACAACACATTTTATACATATTTTAAATGTATATAATTTCGGCCACCTGAGTTACTAAGATTCACCTCATTCATGACTCAAGTTCAGTGTTACAATATGGCAGTGAGTGTTATTGTATCACATTACTAGCCTTTGCTATTGTTTTCCTCTTCATTTTCTTCCTTTTCTCATACGAAATGCCAGATGATGAAAAACATGTTCTAGAGATGCTTTTTTCCCTTGTAGACCTCCCATCCAAATACAGAGCAGTGTTAATGTCACTTATGGGATACCTTTTGACAAGCTCACAACCCATACTAGTGTGGCCGCAGGTCAGTGAATTTTGTTATTGCTGTTTTATTTGCTGAAGTCCAAGGGTATAAGATAACAGGATCAGAAGTCACATCTGGCTGTCCTACATAACCCTGCTAGTACAGAAAAATCCCCTGCCACTCTCTTGCCTATGTAACACTTAGGGTTTGCCTGGTTCACCTGTTCCTAGACTTTGGGTGGGTACGGAGCTGAAAGGGAGAGAAAAGGAAGGGCACATTATGCTAAAGAACTGCTGTTTATACACCTGGGGTGAGCACTCCTCTCCACCACAACCCTTAGAGATGAAAACTAGGCCTGAAGCAGGATAAAGCAGAGAACACACACAAGCACTGCCATGTCCACCATGAAATTCAAAGAAGGACTGACAAGTGTAAAAAGTTTTCATGAATGATGCAGCTACACCTTAAAACTCCACATGGGTTCTCAGCAGTTAAGAGTTGATATCCAGCCCAGTAGCATAATTCATTTAGCCAACTCATGGGCGAAGGTTCAAGGCTGCAGTAACAGATGAGAGGCTTCCCTTGTCCCAGAAGCAGGTGAGGCTATCTGCTGCACAGCTAAAACTGCCCTAGAACAGTCCTCTCCTGTGGGTAGCACTGAGGCTGAGGACTCTGCAGCTTCTCAGGATAGCTGGTATGGAAGTTAAAAGCCCATAAGACCCTCAAGTCTGCAGGCTATTTAGGTATAACTGGCTTCTAATAACCTTTGGCTGCCAGTCAGACACCTATCATTCCACCGAAGGAACCAGCTCCAGCAAGAGGTCTGCAACATGGGCCACCATTGACCATATTGAAAAGTAAATGCATTTAAAATACACTGGAAGGAGAGAAACTATATGTAAGTAATTTAAAACAATACTCCCCTCATCCTTAAATTATTAAATATCCATCTTTGACATTACAAAATTACCTTTATTACCTTGAGATGAAAATCAGCATTGGCTATTATTATTTGAAAAAGCTACTTATCTATATACTCTGGGCAAATATCAGTCAAATACAGAGGTTTGATCCTACTGATCCAGTGGCCAGCACATTAAGTGATAAATGTCAGAAATTACAGACTAATACTAACGTATTCTTCAGTACTTGCACACAGGCATAGGAAACAAATAAAACAGGGGAAATTCCAGAAATTCTGGAGTTTAAAATTGAAATCTCTAGTAAAATACTACTGGATAATATGTTGGAATGGAAAGGAACAGAATACCCCATGCTACTGTCACTAAGTTGGCCTATGACTCAGACTGGGTCGTTCAGTTTCCAGCTTACAACAAATGCAACAATTTTATTTTTTCTTCTCTCACTAAAACATCCACACAAATTTTACTGACAGACTCCTTCAGCTGCTGAGCCACTCTCCAGCTGAGACAGCCACCTACACAGGTTCTGAATTCAGGCCACTTAGGAAATCAAGTGAGAAAGTCATTATACTCAAAATTTTCTTTCTTGAAACAGATGTTCCATTTTTCCATTAATCTGTATTTTTATCATAATAAACACAAGCTTCATTTTATGACACTTAAGTATAGGAATTCAACTCATGCTTTGATCAGATTCTAAAAATAATCTTTATTTTTTTCCTCTTTCCTTCTAGTTGGGGCCAAGCAATGTGCTAAGCATTTCCTTCTGGAAGGAAATCTCCAGCAAGTTTGCCTCTTTATTTTAGGCGATGCAGAAAACCAGATGTTTATTTAATTAAATCCACTCTCAAACATGGCATTCAGAAATTTTTTTTGCAGTTGTTGCTGGGAATCATTCAAAACACTGTTAGGTCTTATACATGCTTTGGAATTCTTACCATTTCAAGGACTAAGCTTATATCATGTCTGCAAAGGATGCGCATATTAAGATCAAGGCGATTTTGCCCGATTGTGCACCCTGTGGTTGCCATATGATAAGATCAAACCTGATCAGCTAAACTACAATAAACAGCACAGAACCCTACTGAAAACATACTATTTTAAGACAATGGCACTATTTCAGAGTTCAATCACAAGTGAAATCCTAAAATTAAATTGAGGAGGAGGGCCAAGACAGAGGGGAAAAAAAGAACTAAAAACACACCAAGGTTGGAAGGGAATTACCATGTTATGGTTCACAGAATAGATTCTGAGCACAGAGAGAGTAAGTCTATGTTTCACGTGTTTATGCCCATGTTGTTAACCTTCCTTTTTACCTTTACTCATTAATATATTTCCAAAAGCAAACATATTTACTACTGTATGTTTTACTAAGAATTCAGAAGAAACAATGCAGGAAAGTGGATTCCCTTTTCAGGGATAGAGGTTTGAGAACAGTAAGTTCTTAATCAACTTATATGACTCATAATGCATTGAGTTAATAATACTGTAACTTTATACTTGAGTGTGTTCATTAAGATGGATTTGAGAAATACCTATGACTCAGGCACTGAAAGCAAGCAGAAGAATTTTAATCATTATAGTGCAGTAGAAAACTTAATTGAAAAGTTGAAAATAATAGAAGGAGCAAAGTCAGTGATAGGCAATAAGGATTATTTAACAAATTTCCTTGCCAATATTCAGCAACATAAGCACTTAACTCACTATTGCTTCTGTCATGAAGTTATCACATAAGCATGCCCAACGCATTTTAATGTTCAGGTACACTGATCTTTCCCAGTTATTGCTGATGACAGCAAGTTCAAGCTAATTACAAGAAGAAATTTATTTTCACCTAGCCTAAACAAGCAGCTGTTAAGATGTTTCTTTTGAAAACTGAGGTCAACTAGACCAATCCTCAATTACAACATTTAGAGGTGTACTTTATCTTTGTCCTTTCTTTTTCAAAATCCCACAAGCAATACCATAGTATGAGTACACATTGTCTGACACTTGTCTTCAACTTTTTTTATTTTATTTTATTTCAAATTGAGTGTTACAAATAAATGCAGAGAGGTTTGTCTGAATACAGACCACCCACGATACAGCTTTCGTACTTGCTAAAATTCCTTTCCATGAGACACAGTGAAGTTTTGTGGAATTTCATAGTGACCATCCTGTACCAAAGATTACAGCATTCTGAACTGCAGTACGAGATATTTTGCCAGAAATTGAAAAGCAGTTCTTGAAAATACTGCTACACAAGAAAAGGAAACAACACCTTGAGTGAAACATATCAAATCACACAATGCACCGAAGAAACATGAAGAATTTTGATTAAAGTAAAATCAGTCACTTAATCCATGTTTAGAATGAACCGAATCTTCCCACACTACTCAATTAACAACAAACCAAAGGTTTGCATAAGTCTGTTATCAGGAGATCTCACTTGGAGTAGACAGGAAATAATTTTGCAGCATCATGGGCAGTATTTGGGGCGTCTTTGTTCAGTGCACTTTCTATGCTCCTTTCAAATAGTGGCTTGCTCTGCTGAATCCTTCTGGATGGCAGAGGGAGGCCTATTCCACTGCTGCAGAAGCAGAGCACATCCTTCTTAGGCACAGCAAGTTCAAGAAACAGCAGGTGTAGTAAGCAGGAGGTCCACCTCCCTCTCTACAGGGAGGAAAAAATGCTGTGTAGAAATTATTTCTTGTTTCTGCTTTTTTATCTGTTAGTATAAATATCAACTTAAAAAATTGACTCGTCTAGTCAATATTCTAATTTTTATTTGACTTCTTGGGGAACTCAATCAGTTAAAGTTCAGACAGGTCTTTCTCAAGACTTTCTCTGATTCAGTGTCCCATTAGTGTCCCTAACCCCATCTTTTTTCTGCACTATACAAAGACTATTTCCCACTATATAGAAGGAGACCTAATCTTTCAGCTACCAGGCTAACATGCAAAAATACAACTTTATTGCTACCTTTTCCAGTCTGCAAGCCTTCCACAAAGCTTAAAGAGATTAAACCTCCTCCTCTAGTTCTTCAGCAGCTTTCTTAGGAAAAGAAGTAGCATATTCAAGTAAAGTATTCAAAAAAGCAAATAACTATTTCCATGTTGAAATCTGTGTCTTAAAAAGCCCCTGTGCATTATTTTTTAAAAAGTCAGTTTCTAATATGGTTACATTTCTTGCTTTATATTTCTTCTGCTGGAACCTCACTTGTGTTTCCCTCCCACCCCAGTGCAGATAGATCAGACAGTTCAATACAAAACACCTAAAGCAATTTAAAGACATACTCTTATCTGTACCTATCTTTCTGTGTGAAGTGATTATAGTCCTCAGAATAATACAAAAGGAAGATTTTGTCACTACAGCTACTTGATCGTGTTTTCTAGGGGAAAAGGTGGCTCGACTGAGTACTACTGAAAATTCTAATTCAGAAACAGACCTATGTGGTTATGTTACAAAACTCTGTTGAAGCATTAAAGTTCTTCTATTTGCAAAGTATTAAAAAGACCCACAAGTCTTACTCAGAGCCTATTGAACATGTTTATATTAGCTTAGCTCTCCCTTAGCTCTAAGTCCCTTAGCTCTAAGGGACTACCTACAAGCTGACAAAAAATTAGGGATTCAGAGCTTAATCAACAATAAATAATTTTTCTTTCAACCAGACAAAATGCATACACAGGCATAGAGAGCAGTAAAATGAGATCAGCAGTTAAATTAGCACACATACATGTTCGTGTAGATGATCAATACTCTAAGTTAAATGCTAAATAATTGCCCTCTTTCCTGGAAGTCTGTTGTTTTATACAGCAGCGCTCAGTCATGGACAACATGGAATTTACAAAGCAGATCTCAAATAAAAGCTGTGATTTCATAGAACTGAGGAGTTGCTAGTGCCTTCGGATCAAAAAAACAGTGCAATACATACTTATTGAAAACTGTTACTCCCTCCTCAACATACAAAGCAATAAATCTTATGACAGTACCTCCCATCCTTCAACATGAGACTGCCATTCTTCCAAAAACTCTAATTTTTCCATTTGTCTCTTGGCTTCATTTATGTTGGAACAGACAGCTTTCATGGCCTGGAGGGCTTCCATTAGGGCTGCATAGTCACTGTGCTTCCTTGGAGTCCGCTTCAGTAGCTCCTATTTAGACATTTTAAAAAAAAAAAAGGGGGGGGAAAAAAGAAAAAAGCCTGTCTTTGATCTTTAAATGTACATTACAGAAGACTTAAATCAATCAGCATGCAAGACCAAAAAGTAGTCAGATCTTCATTTTACTACATGGAAAAGTAATAAACCCACTAGCATTGTATCTTAGTAGGACACTAAAACTCCAGAGTAATTAATTCTGGACAATAATAATCATGACCTAGGAAAAAGTTTGCATTTCAGCTATTATTTCCTCCAACAATGTTTCTTCATGTTGAGCTTTGGCTTTGGGGTGAAGTGGTTTTTTAGTTTGGATTTTTTTTTTTTTTTAAGATTCTACAGAATGGAACTGTTCAACAGCAAGAATAACAATTCTGCTTAAAAATGTTAGTTTACTCATGTCAAAATTAACACCTGCCTTTTCTGCAACTCAGGGTAAAAACCATGTTCCTTTAGCTCCACACTTTTGTTTAATCTAGTGCAATAGAGCAAAGCAGTGAACAATAGCTTAGGTCACTGATTTCGGATGGTTCCTGGTACTGGTAGCCATATTAAACAACAGAAGTGGAGTTGCCAGCATTCGTTTGAGATTTGCCATCTCAAGCTACCAACAACCCATTTACAGCTGGACTGACTAAGGACAAGCTTCAGTGCCTACCCTGAGGTGTAGGCAGCTCTCCACCACACCCTGTATTTGAATTTATTTAACATAAATATATCCATTTCATTGCCCCCTAGAGTAATTCATTAGTCATTTTCCCCTGTTTTGTCTGCAGATCCTTCATTCAAAAAATAGAATAGAAAAGCAATTTTAAAATAGACCAAGGGAACTGTAAAGCCACAGATATCCGGGATGACTCACATATCATTGCAATTATTATATTCTTTAATTTATTTTAACAACCTTTATTTTAACATGTTTCATTTTAGATTTATGCCATTTGCCTCACAACTGGCAATCTTTCAGACCTAAACTCAAACATGCATTGTGAAAAACACTGTCCAATCATGTTTCAAGTAGCTTCTAGAGCAGAATCTGCTCTGACTTTCCTCACATGGTTTGGAACAATACATGATATTAGTCCTTCATTTGTTAAGCAAAAATGTTTTAAATACTTATTTTCCTGTATTATTTTATTTCCTAACATAGTAAATTAGTCTCAGAGGTTTGAATAACTAATGTTTACCACTGCATTTAATGGTCTTCACTGTTTTAAACTGTCACAATATGATAGGAATAAGCATATAATTGTGCATAAAACTGTCTACAGTAGCTCTTATTCTACACTTTTTCTTACAAAAAACTTTCATTAATATTTTTTCACTTACAGTTGGTGAACTAGCATCATCAAAGCATGTCACCAACAAACTCTGCTATCCCAAGCACTTTAAGTAAGGACATGGTCAAACCCTCTCTCAAATGGCTCACTTCTGTCCAACAATGGAGAGGCAACCTTACAACTAGATGCAGAATGGAGCTAATTATCTTGATCCAGTCAAACACCTCAGTTCTTTTAATACTGATGTCAGAAGACTTGCCATCATCTTTAATGAGAGCAGGTCTGGGTCCAATATCTTAACAAGGAGATAATTCACTGTATAGAGAGATGGTTCCTGGAGTTCAAAAACATGTTTAGCAACCAGTTTTACATAAGAAGTATAAAGTCCTAAATAAAAATCTTTTAAGTACCTTTAGAAGAAGGGGATACTTGCATATCCTCTGTATTGGTGTTACTAGATATCCTTCCAATGGTACATCTGTGTTCTTGCGTCCTCCAAGGAGCATGCAGTTCTGGAGTGTGAACAGTTTCACAAATTATTGAAAAATCCCCAGAAAATTAGCAGAAATAAAGACCATGTGTATACATCAATACTGGCTAAACTATACATATATACATATAGGCAAGGAAGGAAGTTTGCAAGACTGTCAAAAGTACAGGCTTGAACACATGCACAAGTGGGTACGTTGACCATCATATATGACAAGGAAGTCACAACGGCATTATGCAGGTTTCTCACCTAGGTACCTTCTTCATCCAGTCTGATGAAGAGAGGGCTTCTTTTTAAGTTTAAAAATAAAAGACAGTAAATAAAATGCTCAAAATATGCTTTTAGACTTCAACAAATAATAATAATAATAATAATTCAGGGTAACCACTATAGGTGCTGCTCTTTCTAAAAAGTGTTTGCTATATTAAGTTGGATTGAAGGTTTGAACATGACCATCCTAATACACACCCGAAAAAAAAACATGTTCTGTTTCCATGCTTCTATATTTAAACATGATGTGCAATGAATAAAATATCCTTAAGTCATGGGCAAAAGAATATTAAAGTTTTGACAGGACATCCAATTATGGAAGCAGAGAATACATGAAATATTGGGCGGAAGCTTCCATGAAAAAGCAGCTGAGAGAGAGAAAAGAATACCAGATGCTTGGGATAAGAAAATTTGTAAGGGACATCACAGCAAATATTTGGAATTGCTGGAATTAAAGTGTAAGTACATAAAGACCTAAAGCAATGATGACAATTATTTTATGGAGAAATCAGAAGGAATTGTGATGCAATGGTATGAGATAATCTACAGCTTCAAAGAGCAAGTTGTCTAAACTGAGGATGCTAAACAAAAGTAGTTTAAGACAGCCAGATGGTATGTCGACACAGGCCACAAATCTGGATGCAGACACATTGTTGATGGAACAGAGTCTACACAACTGAGTGGCTGTTCCCCTCAGCACGTAACTCAACACACATGCCCCATAACCAGTGCTGCTATGGGGAGCTCTACACCCACCCTTAAGTCTCTGCTTCATACTTATGGCTAACTAGTTTCTGTCTTATCCTAAAGGATCCTTTATCCTAAAGGATCTCACTTAGCCTGCCAGTGCATAAGCTTTACTGATGAAGACCAAGCAAGATAACAGTAATGCAGAGCATAGGTTTCTGTAACAACTGTCTCTATACTCAAAGGCTCAAAAGTCTGGTTTCAGCTCCCAATTACTGATAGATAATCACATCTCTAATGACCTGTTCTATCTGGCTAGAATGCTTTAACTGTACTTTCAAATTATATAGTCAGATGTCTTGTTCTCTTGGTCAGACTGCTGTCACTTAATCCTAGAGACATGTCCCAAATCTATTAGGAACACAAAACACATGTGAAAGCCTTCTGCATGTGCCCAGGGGTACACAATTGACACATCATGAACTGCCACAACTGCACTCCTGGCTCCCTTTCTCACAAAACAAGCTCCTTGCAATCTTTGTCTGGAGTATTTTGCTTTTTGTCTCTGTAGTCAGCATTCACCCTTTCTTCTTGAGCCTGGCCATGCTGCTCCTAATACAAGAACCATGTGTATGAAGCTCCTCAGTATGGGGCAAGGTGAAGGATACTGTGTCAGCTACTGAGGAAAAATAGGACAACTTTGAAGCTGTTTTTAACTATGAACGGAACATGACTGAGCAAGAGATTCTTAGCAAAAAGGAAGATGGTGCTTCATGTCACCCAGTACCCCTCACAAGAAGGAAATTTCCACACTGCTCATTAACTTGGCTGTAAGTAAGTGCAGTTGTGGATTCAGATATGGTATCTTTCAAAAAATTACTGAGCCACAATTGGACAACTTCATCAAGAACTGTCAACAGTAGTAGTGAAAGCCTAATGCATGCTAAAAATAATTAATAAAATTAAATAAAACATGAGAGACTGTCAGCATTGGCATAATCTTTTTTTCAAAAACATCTCTGATGCTTTGCTGACAGCATCATTTGCTTTCCAGTCCTAAAACATAATAATCAGAACTGACCACTCCAAAATTTGTATAGCATATCCATGGACACCTTCTCAGGTATCTAAGTTCCAATATATTAGGCTCAACATTTCAAAGCTGACCTTGTTACCACAGGAAACCATGGAGGAAACACAAAAAACATTCCACACTGAATCCTTTTAACAACTATTATCAAACTCAGTATTTACATGTGAATTGGTTTTGCTCTTGGAGAACCATGAAGGCTGTCATACTTAACATTTTAAAACCCCTTCCTTATTTGTCTTATTAAGTGAAAGACTAATTGTGGAGCTGTTTCTTTGGACTTCATATTAAGTCAGCATCTAAGATCAGCATTGATAATTTATGACCCATAATGAAACATTTTCTGTCTGCAACAGTTCTGGCTACAGTACCAGAATGTGGACCTTCTCTTCACAAGTTCTGATGAGTCCTTCAGCTTCCTTTCTGTAATTCCTTTACCTGTCCCTCCTCACCTGTATTACCCTACTGTTTTTCCTTTCTACAGATTCACAGGCTTGTCTTCTGGCCAGCATGTTCAGGGCACACTGCCTAATGCTGTATTACCTACAGATCTGAGGACAGAAGCGAAAATACGATGTATGCACTCCCTTGCCCTGGAAACCATCCCCAGCTAAAACTGTCTGCTACCCACTTGCAGGCATGCTTGTACTTGTTAATTGGTGGAGGTAATAGTGCTAACAGTTCACTGCCTAGACAAAAAATATGAAGCTAGAACACCAGTTCAATGTTTATTTACCAAAAGAAATGTCCGCACTGTTCTTATTTTGTTTAGGTCAAGCAGAACTTTCTGTGCCTTCTCGTGGTTACTACAGTATTCATCATAGATACGGAATTTCTCTTTCTGCAGGAACAAAAAAAGACATTGTTTTTCACTTGTCATTTTGATTTTGTTTTAATTAATAAAGCATGGAATGAATACTTTTCAAAGCTGAATAGCTAATATAGTCTTCATTCTGGAAGGTCAGCTCTTCTTCCTATGTCTATTATTTGAGGTCTAGCCTCAAATTAGACTTATGAGCAGTCTGGAAGCAGCAATTGGGAATTTCAGTCTTAGATTCATAGAATACCAGGTTGAAAGGGGGCTCAAGGATACTCTGGTCCAACCTCTCTTGGCAAAAGCACAGTCTAGACAAGATGTCCCAGCACCCTGTCAAGACAATCTTAAAAGTGTCCAGTGCTGGGGAATCCACCACTTCCCTTGGGAAACTATTCCAATGGCTGATTGTTCTTATTGTGCAAAATTTTCCTCTTAGGTCCAACTGGAATTTCCCCAGGAGTAACTTGTACTCATTACACCCCTCATGTTATCCATGTGACTCTGTAAAATAGAGACTCTCCATCTTTGTAGCCACTCTTTAAACACTACAACATGGTCATAAAGTCTCCCTGAAGCCTTCTTTTCTCAAGTCTGAACAGAGTTCTCTCAGACAGCTTATGGCAGGCTTCCCAGTGCTTTGAGCATCTTTGTGGCCTTATCTTGCTAATCTGTTTGGTTTTTTTGGTCACAGCAGCACACTATTCACTCATTGAGCTTGTGGTCCATCAGGAGTCTGAGGTCTCTTTCCACAGAGCTGCTCCCCAGACAGGTAGGTCCCAGCCTGTGCTGCACTCCTGGATTATATTTTCCCATGTGCAAGACCTAACATTAGTCTTCACAAGGTTTTTGATAAAAATTTCAGAGGCTGGACTATAGCAAACATACAGGATAAAAAATCACAGGAAGACAATGCACAATGAGTGGCTAACTTGCTGACATCATTACCCATTTTGTCTGCAAACACTTGTTTTCAAATATGATCCGTGCTTCTGCAGATTTAAAAACTGATTGTTACTCAACTTCTGCAAAATGTTTCCATGAACCATTAATAATTTTCTCCTCCCACAATGAATAAACAAAGGCTTAACAAAGAAATGGGACTCTAACCAGAGATAACAATGAAACCTAGATTTTTTGTTAGGCCTACGACTGAAAGTAAACTAATCTGTCCTGATTTTGCAAAGCTCTGTAACACTAACATCATTGTTTTGCTCCAACAGGAAAAGTATTACTCCTAGAAATCAATTTCTACAGGACATACAAGCAAACTTGTGGACATACTGTAGTTGTCATAAGTAAAATATCTTTGCAATCCAGAACCAGGGGGGTCTTTTACCCAGCATAAGCAAATATTTATTAAATATTCACATTTTTTCCATAGTATCAAAGGGGAATAAAAAAATAGCATATTACTACTTTTCCTGTTTCGTGCAACCCTGATCCTTGCACCTCCACCTCACACATAGGCACCAGCATCACCCAAGCTTCAGAGCTCAGTGTGTCAGCCTGGGCTGATTTGGTGAATCTAAAAATTATGACAACAAAGGTTTCCCCATTTCATATGTTCTTTCTTCATTCTCCTCCCCTCTCTTGTTTTTTCCTTTTTATTTTGCAAATCACAGTAACCAAGAAATTACTTCAGAGTACTCTACATTATGCAACGAAGTAACATTTTGTCTTCATGACTATGTACACTTATCATCATGACAGTAATTAATAAAGACAAAAAATACAGGAAAAGCATGAAACAAGGCTGAAATAAAAGATAACATACATAATTCAGAAAGCAGGTTCCAACTTCATGCTGTGCATTAGGTTCTGGCTGTAAACACTCCTCCACCAGGGACAGGAAGTTTTTGTGAACTGCAAGAATATCTTCAATATTTGAAAACAACATCTGCAAAAGAATAAAACATATGTAAATAAAACATCAGATACAAAGCAGAAGAAATATGTAATTAGGAAACTAACCTTAACTGTCTCTTCTGTGACATTTTTATCCACTTTGGCTGTAGCACATTGGATCATTCGGTGAAGAAAAGCCTGCATGAATCAAGACAAATAAGAAAAAAAGTCATTTCAGGAAGACTCTCACAATTTTTGGCATGTTATGCTTTAATCTATTTACCAGATTTCTTATACTTTGGCTATAGAGTCATATCAGAGTATTATTTGGAATCTAAGCCACATATTTTATTTATAAATCATTTAGTAGCCCTGTTATTCTAACATGATACAAAAACCTTATCTATGCAGTATTTAAAAGAGTTAAACAGTGAAATATTAATGAAGCTGAGAAACCAAACACGCTCTGAAGTATCACTTCCACCCTGCACTCATATTACAAATCAAGCAAGAGCAAAATGTATTAATTTTCAAAATCTCACCCTAGCACTTTACAAATTGGGTACCAGACAAGCCAAAATAAGCTGTTAATTTCTAAGTTAAAACTAATCAGGAGATGTTATTATGAAATGTAACTTTTACCATAGCAACTGCAAGTCAGATGTCAGATGTATTAATAATCAAACCTAATATAAAGTAAATAGGCTTAAACAAGAGTCAGCTGCACCTGGTTTTGCTTAATGAAAACTATTCCCTCTTCCCTCCCCAAGAACCTAATCCCTGGAGATCAAATGAGAATTTAGTAATACTACTAATGAAATACCAAAATAATAAGTTTTATTTTATTTCACATTCAAGAACTGGACAAAAAAGAAGGTATGTACAGCACATCATTCCAAAAGAAACAAATATTTCAGGTACAAAGAAAAGAATTTTTATTAACTCATCTCATTACAAAGACATGGGTATGTTCTGGAAAACTGTAGACTAAAATCTTACACTGATGATTCTTCACACAGACACACATACTCTTCAGTCATTAAAACCTGGCACCACAAGTGCACAAATGTCATGTCTTTCATAACCATTTAGCTCCAAGTCACTGTGCATTGTACACTGTACATGAGCTCATCTAAATTCTGGCGTGGTGCAAATTCCATAAAAGAGGCAATAAATAATCCCTGTGTGGAAAGATAGAAGTCACAGCAACCCTTTTTTCTCTCTGCTGGGACTTAAAATTTTCATTCCCAAGCAGCAATCCTTTCTCTGCTGAAGAGGACTATGTAACTGGCATTACACATTTTTATTACCAAAGAGTCAAATCTAGTTATCCAGGACATAAACTGAATTAAGTTTGGAATACTGCCAGCATACTATATATTTCCTATCACTTTCTACAATTATGTAGATTTTCTACTTCATTAAACTCCTCTTTTTCCTGGCTATTTGCGCTTTCTTTCTAATGTTTTATTGGTGCTACAAAATGTCATTAACTCATTTGCAACAGTTAACTGTTAGTACACGACAGCCTTTTATATTGTTCCTTGCTAGGAATATCCACAGGGGTTATGGAAAATTTGCTGTGTGCATTGCCTGTACACTGTTCAACCAATGCCACATAGAGTGAAAGCCTGTATGACTAAGTTAATTTTTGGAAGTTTTCAGTAAACCATCCAACAGCATTAAATATGCTTTAAAATCCCAAGGAAAAAAGAATTGCAAGAACTACCTCTGAAAGTAATGTCTATTTTTGCTATCTGCAATTTCTCTCTGTTCACATTACTTCCCCATAGACCAAACATACTGCTCATCTGCACTCATGTTATCTCAGATCATCTTCATTTCCTATAACTGTGAAGGAAGGTGAACATTAAGTTGGCTGAAGGGGAAACTGAGAAGGATCTGAGAGCTGAGGCATTAGTTATTCTCAAGTGATCCCAGACACTAGTCAAGAGTCATTAGGTCGAGACGAGTATATATCAGCTGCAATAAACAGTTGTCCAAGCAACACTGACCCAGATGTCACATCTACAGAGGTTATCAGAAACTAAATCCAGGAAAATTCAACTCTTGCAGAAACCAGACACAAGTCACTAATTAAGGCAGGGAGGCCTGGTATAACTTCAGTCCCTTCCAGTACTTCGTGCAAGCCTATGTAATATTGTGCTGTACTCATACTGCAACGATAGTCCAATTGCAATGCCAGTTTTTTTTCCCAAGATTTGCGACAAGTTCATAGTTCATAGCAGTTCACAAGTTCATAGAATGGCATGAGTTGAAAGGGACCTTAAAGATCATCTAGTTCCAACCCCCTTGCCATGGGCAGGGAACACCTTTCTCTAGGCCAGGTTGCTTAGAGCACCATTGCTGTCCCTTACCAAAGCAGATTTGCTTCCTGAAAAATATCGTAACACCAGGTCCCAAAGATCAATGGATGTGACCATATGAATCTTTCAGTACACTTACAAAAGAGTCCTACAAAACTACACATACTGCCAAATAATTGGAATAATCTCACATTTTCTAGAAGAGTGGTGTAAGAGAATTCAAGGGAGTGCAGGTAGGGATGGAGGTGTCTACCTCCATTCACATGCCACCAGGACCAATCCTTGGTGCACTTCACTTGCTGAGGAGTGAGTAATGCAAAGCAGTGATGAAACCCAGGTTTCCATGATGCAAATCCTCTTCCCAACTTCCCTTCCTGTAACACAGAGACACCGCTCACTCCATACACACACCACCTCTGCACTGGGACTTTGCAAGGGAGAACCAACAGATGTCATTACGCAGGAGGATGGAGAAGTAATTAGTTTTTACAATGTAAAATAACCTCAATCCAGCACTGTGATTGCAAAAATATAAATGTCTCTAAACTTTTATGAACACAACACAGAGAGAGAGTTGACTGTTCAAAAAATCTCCAGAGTTATCTGAGCATCAACTGAGAACAACCACAAAGTTCTTCAAAAATTAGTAAACAAAGAAAAGAGCAGGTCATTTGTAGACACAAGTTTGAAGAGGATCCCAACACAGAAATTAGACCTTAAAAGCAGAATGTATAACAATGGGCAGATAAATATGGGGCAAAAAATTATAGTAGCTTTTGATTAAACACTATATAAACTACCATTAACCACAGAAAAAACACATCTATTAAAAAATGAAAGTAAAATGGACATCTCAGCCAATTTATGGCTCACTAATTAACTGGGCACACAAAAACAAGAAGTCAGAAACTCCACTGAAATAGCACTGAGTTGCTTCTAAAAATTCTACCATTACTTCAGGTGTGCTGCTCCAAGTCCATACTCATTCCTGCCCACCACATTACATTAAGGAGCATAGCAATTACAAATTGCAAGGATGTAGCAGAATAGACCCTGCTCCTAGACTGAGCAAACCACTGTAGGAATCAATTGTCATACATGCTTCCCATGCTTGCAAAAAAAAAAAAAAAACCAAACAAACAAAACAACAACAAAACCATCAAAGCAAAAAATCAGCTCAAACACACAACAGTAAATCACGACTCCTCTCTGCTTCCTGGAGTACACAGCACACCTTGCTGAAGTTACTTCAGTATTCATCTACTCTAGAGTAGATGTTTCACAGCACAACATCAAACACAGAGAATAACATATCTCTGGATCACAGACCGTTGCCACCTAGACAGCAATCCTCAACTTTCTCAAGGCTTTTCAAGTGGATTCCAGAGTTTCCCTTAACTTCTTTTCAATTCTTAGTTTTCTCAAATAACAGCAAGGACATGTAGTTAGATCATAATTTTCCAGATTTTCATCTTATACCACCAACATTCTAGCTACATTGCTATAGTACAGGGATTCAACCTTGCAGCACTTGCCCCTGGCACTCTCTGCCAACCAGAGACTATTGATGATTTCTCTTTTAAGACATCTCCATGCAACATTTCAGAGCAGCAAGTTGGCTGGATACCACAAAGAGCAGTCTAAATTTTAAAGATCAGATGAAAAGCAAAAACAAAAGAGGACATTTGTTATTTACATTCAAAAAACACCACCCAGTTTTTGGAACTGTCTATGGAAAATTCTGTCATTCTAGGAATATCCTTGAGTCACTCAGAGTGCCACAACCCCTGCCTCCACAAAGCTGGCATTCAAATTCCAAACCTAAACTTCCTAAAGCATCCTTCTGGAAACCTCAATAACACAAAATGGCATCTACATGATCAGTGTATACCTACTTTGGAGAAGAAATGCCCCAAAACGCTGACAAAATTATAAACATAAAGAGTTACATCTTAAGAAATCTGATGATCTTTAGAAGTTTGACGAACTTGTAGTCCAAAAGATGAGGTACCAACTGAGACTTCTGGAATAGGGAAGTGGCAACACATAATGTCTATAAGATAATAGTTTAGTGCTAAAGTTCCCTAATTCCACTCAGGTCCTACTGGGGACATAAAAGCCTCTATTTCTGGCTGTGACTCAGGTTCCCTGTACCACACTGGTAAGGAGGAGAGTAATTTACCTCTACCTTTGACAAACGAATTGGACAGATCATTTGGAGAAGATTCCTTGCTAATAATATGAACTAAGATAATTACATCCTTTTTTCATGGTTGTGTGCTTATTACCTGCAAACTATTGTCACATGCTTTCTGTACGACTCCCTGTTCTCTTTGACCCTTTGCCTGACATTGCAGTAACACAGTACAGAAAATACTGGGAGTGAAAATTAAAGCATAAAACACTGAAAATTCAAAGAATTATAAAAGAATCTGTTTATTATGCAAAATAAACACTAATGTGTTTGCCTGTGTGCTGATCTGCTGTCGTTTGGTGAGGCAGTGTTTTTCACACAGAACACACACTGGGTTCCTGTTACAGGGATTTCTGGTCTTATCAAAATAAGAGTAGCATTGTTGACTGTTTGATGGGGGTTTTTTCCCTCCATAGTTGCTCTGTGTGTTGTTAACAAAAAAAAAAAAAAAAAAGAAAAAAAAAGAGAAAGAAAAGAGAAGAAAAAACCTCCCAAAAACCCTACCACTGCTACAGATGGCATAAGGAGCTGCCAGCAGTACAAATGACTTCTCTGACATCTGGAATGAAATCAGGGAAAACAAAGAAGTTTGCCTGCAGAAGACTCCCAGAGCACAAAAACTTTTTGCCTTCTTGACAGATAAAACGTTAAGTCCTTAAATTATGTCAGAGCACCTGGATCACAAAATATATTTAACTATCTTTCTGAAAGCAATCCTCCTACTTTTGTGAGCCTAGAAATAAATACTGTATTTTATTTGAAAAAAGAATTTTTATACAGTTACTAATTTTTTCCCCTCAGACTTCTTTTAACACTGTTTCTACTCTCAAATCTATACTGTCATGAACAAAACCAAGGTGGATTGCAACAACATATATATTTTTAATAAGGTCATTCCCTGTACATTTTCGCTTTAGGAACACTACTTTAACTGAGGTGCCCAACCTATCATATCGAAGACTGCTGAATAAATCTAGCAAGATGTTATGCACATTAAAAATTAATACAATTTTATTTTGCACAGTATCAAAAGACAAAATCCTAAAAGAAACTCACATGGAAAATGTTCATATTTTCATATAAAATTTTTGCATCTGTGATAATAGGCATGTCTTCAAAAATTTAGAAACACAAAGCTTAAACACTTGTCGTTTCTGTTTTCTCTTTACATTCCTAGTGTATCTGTAGTTATCTGAATGGTGGAAAATATTTTGGTCTTTTCACAATATTCCAAGTGATCCTAGAGAGAACATGGAGACCTAAACATGGGAAAAAAACCTGTTTACTATTGTAAGGTGACTAGCCAAATGCATCATGGCTAATTCAGCTGGCAGACATTGAGGTAGCATTTTGCACAGCAGTCTTGCACACTATAATTGATGCACATCAGACTCAAAGTCCCAGAAGAACACCAAGCCAGTTTTGTTGAAGCACTTTTGTTTGATTCTGCCACAAAAAAAAAAAAAATATTCAATAGAGAAGACTCCAGCAGCAATAGCAGCTGTGGCAAACACTGTGTACTCACCCTCCTCTTCCTATTAACCTGTGCCAGAACCAGTGGCAGTAGCTGCTCAGGCTGGCTTCTGCTACTGAACAAAAGACTCTTCTTCTCTCTCCATTGATTCACCAGCTGAGGCACCACCTGTTTCTCCCATCTTGCCTGCAGGACTGGATGAATCACCACCAGCAGTGAGAGCATCAGCCAGGGTCAGATAAATTCTTTCTCCCTACTGTACCTAGAGACTTTCAAAGCTGACTTCATATTATCATGCCTATAAATACAGGGGAATAGATGGACCACAACATCTGCAATACTTTCCATTCTACTGCTATTTTCCTTTCACAACTGACCAAACTATTCCCTTCTTCATTCATCTGATCCCAAGGGGCATCAGTCTGCCTAAAAGAGCATCCCTGGTTTCTTTCCTTAAAGAAAACATGAATTCAGAAGTAAACACATACAAAAATTATTGCATTGAAGAAATATGGATCTTCATAACCTTCTCATACATGATGAATATGCTGACACATCTTGGGATAATCTTAACCCTTTCGCCATATAATTATGTATAATTATTTTTTTCTCTGTATCCTATCAGAAAACTTCTTCCAAGAGAAGAGCAAGATAACCTTTCCTCAGCTTGTTCTGTATCTGATAACCTTTCCTCAGCTTGTTCTGTATCTCAATCACCTTTTCTGCATTTCACTGGTCACTGACAGTATTTTTCATTTTACTGCACATCTTGTTCTTCCTTTCATGCACACTGAGACACCTAAGTCAGTTCTCTCCTTTGACAAGGAAGTGCCCCCTAAACTGATCCTCCAAAATCACCTGATCTATGACTGCACTTTCACTTTTGATCCCTTCCTTCCTTTCAGCTCCATAGCAGATGAAAGCAAGAGATTTATAGCCGAAGTCCAGTTCCCCAAAGCCAGAAGGGAAGTCAGACATCTCCACCCTCTTCCTTGTCCTGAAGCCATTTCTCAAAAAGATTTAGTACAACCTTTTCCTGGTCCAATTCAGAAGATAGCTATTCCTTTTCTTCCCAGATGTCAAGAATCCTGTCACCCATATCTAATATCTTCATTTTGGGAACCTGTTTTTCTGAGGACTAGATATGATCTTGCTGGTTGATAGAAACTTGGTTGATGAGTAACAAGAGAGTTACACACAGTTGAGATCATGCCAAAGTGAATTACCAAATTATAGTCTGGATGTCAGGCTGGCTCGCACATGCTGCTGTGATCTGACACTATGTACATAAAACTGCTAGAAAATCATCTAAATTTTTGCTTGATTAAAATACAGCTTAGCTAGAACTTCAGCAATGGCCCATACACTGGCATAAGGGATGTACATCCATCTGCAAGCTGAGCAGAAGGCAGAGTCTGTCTAATATTTTGGCTAATATTGTATGCAACATGGGTAGCTGCTAACTAAGTCTTTATCCCAATAAAATGCAAACAGGTTAGACTCTGGTCTCAGCATCACCACCTGGGAGGTCTTGGAAGGGGGAAAAAGGCATTTGTCTGAGCCCTGTGAATTTCTGAACAGTCTCCTGGGATTGCAACAGATAAACCAAACTAACAAGAGGCATCCATACCAATAAATATAATGCTTCCAGCAGGCCAAGACTGATCTTCATTGTTTTTTGAAGGTTTCAAGATATTTTTGAAGAAAAAGACACTCTGCATTGAAAAATGTTTACATGTATGTGGAATTCTCTGTGGTAATACAGCATATGGTCTTGCTGGTGCACATTATGGAGTGAATAATACACTGCTAATCACACAACTGATCTTGTATCACTCAAGTAGAAATGGAAAAGAAATGACATCTACCAACACAGTTTACCTCTCATAAAAGTCAGCAGTTTCCTGAATTTACAGAACACTAGGTTCTTATTAGGAAATCTCAGTGAATTCAGCTGTGTTCACTACCAGCAAATCAAAACAAGAATCTAGGAAACCTCAGAACAAGTGTACATCTGGAACTAACAGTACGTTCCCATTATAGTGTAAACATAATTGGAAAATAATTAATATGTTTGAAATCTTCATACTTCATACTATAGTTTCTTCTTCTTTTTTTGCAAACATGTCTGCTTATTCTATTCAATTTTTCTATTCAATGATTCGTTTCTAAACTTTTTTTTTTTAGAACACCAGTTTGGAAGAATTCAGCATTTACAATACATGTTTGAGACAACTCTCATTCTACACATCAAATTTTATTTCTTTTAGCAAATCAGGAATTTCAGAAAGTATACAAGATGAGAAATACATGAGAGGTCAAGATAAGAAACACATTTGTCACACAGAACCCTATGAAAGGATTTTTTTAGATTTTCTGATTCAATTTCAGAAATAATAGTCACAAATCTCAAAAATATTACAAGAAAGTCATACTCTGCTCATCTTTCTAAAGTTCATTAACATGTTTGAAAACAGGTGTGTCTTTTCTGGCTCAAAAATATCCACCAGATTTAAAAGAAGCCCACCAACCCCTCTTCACATGCTCAGTTTTCAACAAATAATACTTTTTTTCTATATTGGAATGCACAGTCCTTAATTATGAGTTTATTTAATGTTTAATATGGTTAGATGCTAATTAGGAATTAGAATGTTTGAGAGTTCTACAGTTTTTATTGCCAGAGTTGTATAAATAAAGTGTACTTCTCAAACACTACTCAGTGCCAATTCTGGCTGCCATTTGCACTTGCACACTTACGCCAAGAGAAACATGAAGCAAGGAAGAATATGAAATAGCACTTTTCTACCCCAAATTCAGTTCTTTGCAAAGTCTACAAAGAAGCTGTAGTGATTATAGTACATCTAAAAAGTGCTCTCCTGACCACAGATAAAAAGCTGAAACATTCCATTTCTTTCCCAACCAGTAGTAAGCAGAATGCTTCCCTACATAAGGAAAATTCTCTTACATCTTAGATAATTCCTACCACTTCTCATTTAGACAGGTCCTGGAATGATCAAATAGTCCAAAGCTACAGATTCTTATGCAACAATGCCTCATTTCATGCAACAATTGTGCACCACATTTCTGAGTCTTAATAAGACAATACCTTATTTTGCAAAAACTTCCAGGCAATGATATATACTCTGACTTCTCCTACCAAGCTGAGAAACTACTATGCTGATGTTGCTATTTAAATGCATTGTGAAACAACTTTTATCTTCAGGGCAAAATAAGATTTTAAGAAAACTGTTATTTTATATTACTTATTTCACAGAAAATTAGATGGTCATGGCCTCTGAACTTGTTTCAGCCGCTGGTTCAGCAACACAGACAGTACTGCAGAATTATTAAAGAAATACAAACTGTAAGACATAAAAAAGCCTTGAAAATAGCAAAGAATCCCAGGCTAAAAGCAAGGCTTTGCTCTTGTCAACAAAAGCTAGGGTAAACAAAAAAAAAAAAGCATCATGGAGACTGTGCTCCCAAGAAATACAACAAAAATTAAAGTGAATCCACACTTCTGCAGTTATCCCAAGCATTGTTTACCTCTGACCAGTAATAACAACATATGCATACAATGTCACTATTTAAGATTACTAACATTTGCATTTCCAGATGTATTTGAAATAATTCCACTAATTCAAGTATCTTGTTGGACTCTTGTGTTTTCATGTTCTGCAAATCACGGGGGAAACAAAACCTTACCATTCCACATAAAATACACCAGAGTGTATTCGAACTCCAAAAGAATACTAACCTGCAAACCTTCCACTGGCCTTGGATTTGTAGCATTAACTATAAATCCATTCAATCAAACTTTCAAGAAACAATGTACCAGAACAGCCAAAGCAGACAGAATGGTCATTAAAATAGGCTTTAACAACAGCCCCCAAGTGGCTACAGCATCTCCATGAAATCAATCCTTAATTTGAAATCCAAGATTATATACTCCACACTTGGGATCAGGAGAACCATTCTGACAGCAAATTGTCTTAACAGCAATTCTCCTCCTATGCAGACATGTAGAGCAGTTACTTTTTGAGGCAAACCTTCAAGGGAATATTTGAATTCAGGTAGTTAAACCAAGCAGAAGTCCTATATACCTGTCCTGGTTAAGTGACATGGGTTTGCAGTCTTAAATTTCTTCTTCCTTCTCCCCTCCCTACTCCTTTTTGGTAGGGCTAAGAAGCTCTCAAAATGTCCTTGGTAAACTGAATCTTCTTCACAAGAGAATTCAAACACAAAGAGTAGAATCTCTTTGTAATGAGGTCAGAAAGCAGCAATAAATCATGATGGGTATTTAATACCACAGAGAAATGCACATGCTTACTTAAATTTACAAGAAGAATTTACTGAGAATTATACCTTTTCTTGCTGTACCATCATGTAATACAAAATGTCATCATCAGACAAATACAGTCCTACCACACTTGTATAAAACAACTTGAAATCTTCAGTATTTGTTCAAACTAAAACTCCTGCTACCATTCCTAGTTTTCACACTTTAGAATTTTAAAGGAAATGTAACACTGTGATAATGAATGTTCCCTGCCATCCCAAACCAGCAAACAAGCATTAATTAACTTCATTTTCTTGGAAAATGATCAAGAATAGATAGGTTGTACAAACTAAACAACCAGCCACAAATATCAAACTGGCTGCAGCAGTAAACTAAGGTTTACAATTTCAGCATACTGGCACAGGCTCAGCTCTCAGATTTGCAGGGCCAGACTCCCAACATTTCTGATTCAGGATCCCACAGGAATCAGTGACATTCAGAGAAAGAACAGGACCTCATTCAATTGGATCTTACTGCAGTTTTAAAGGATTAAACTACAACCAGGATTGACTTTCCATCGAAGATACTCTGATGACAAGATATAGCCTTAAAGTTTACCTTGAAAAAACAAAAGTATTTGAATTCAAATACTTCTATTCAAGCATTTAATAAGCACTGCAGTATGTAGAAGTATTTAACAAGTATTTAATATTTTTCACTTTGAACCAGAATTTTTATTTTTAATACAAATAATAAAATCAATAAAGGAGGAAATTAACAGTTTCTGATACCAATATTAGTTACCTTAACTCCATTCCAAAAAGAACACAATCATATCAAAATTTAAATTATCTTCTTTTACACAACATACAAACAAAAGATTGTTATATGTCTCTACTGCCTTCCCTGAATTGGTCTCGTGAATTTCCATCTGCCTATATGGTTTTGAGCCAATTTCCATGGAAATGCAATTATTAATAATATTTTTAAGGTTGTATTTGATTTCCGAGATGCTTCAACTGTGCAAATTCAAAGAATATTTCATCTTTTACTTGTTTATTGGCTTGATACCTATTGTAAAGAGTATATGACATAAATGACTTTTTCCTTTATCATAGAATAATAGAATCAACCAG